GCGGCGGGTATTCAATCCCTTGAAAATTTTAAAATTTGGTCCAAAATAAATTAATAAACCGTTATAATATAAAGCGTATACACGTTAAATTATGTAGCGTATACACGCTGTTTTTTATGGCGGGTTACCCCTGAAATTGACAGGTTAATCCAACAGAACAGGGGTAACCCGCCGTAAAAGATAACGTGTATACGCTATGTTTTGTAGCGTGTACACGCTATGTTTTGCTACGCACTTTTGACCACTACCGCTTGCCATAACTAATTAGTAATATTCATATCGCATACAATATTTGTGGTTATCATATCATCAATACAATACATCTCTTAAAATAGTTCAAATGGACAAAACATAATAATATTTTTTTTTTTTGATCTTTTTTTTTTTTTATCCTTTTTTGAATAAATCATAAATCATTTGAAACATGATGTATTCCACAGAAGTACTAATTAACTTGGTACAAAACATTTGTGTTCGATTTGTTTTTCATCTCTCTAACTACATCAATAGTTTACATAAAATAAAACTATATAATCGATCGACGCCAAATAACGATTAAAATGGTCTTAACAGCTGATGTATGTTTGTAGTATTACAATTTACAACACCAATCAATTTCGTTTCCAAGAGTATTATTTTATTATAAATATGGATTTTTTTTGCTTTTCAAATTTTTTATCCGTAAATATGCCATGGTTTTGTTTTCATTTGCGTTAAGATAAATTTTTAATCGTATTTATTTGTATTTATTCGTTATAACTCGTTATTCGTTATTCGTTATTCGTTTTTAAAAAATTCGGATGTTGAATCTTTTAAGTTGCAAATGAAAATTTTAAACCATAACAACTATGCCAATTAAGCACGTAAGTGATTATGTCTTCTCGTATATATTTTGCTATTAAACGAATTATTTAAGTACTGAACCAAACCACTATGATGTTTGAAACTTCCCTAAAAAAACATTATTACAGATTTACTTATTTTCGTACAGTATCGTATTTAACGTTATTCAGATTTCATATTGCCGATATTAATATGGTAATTGTGAATTTTATTATATTGGACATCAAAATATAGATTTTTGATTAATTTTTAATTTTAAAATTTTTTACAATAAAAACTAAAGGTGTCATAAGAAAAGAAAATTAAGGTCTCCTCGAGCATTAAGAAAAGTAACATCATTATACGATTATTAAGGAAAAATAACTTCATAAACGATTATAAAGAAAAGTAACATCATAGAAACAAATTTGATTCGAAGAAAATGTTCATGTTATATAAAAAAATTCGAAAAACAAAAAAATGATTATGAACGTCATTATCAAAATTATTTTTATTATTGTAATGAAATATTCATGTTAAACTTCAAGTTATGAAAATTGAAGTCTTAATGACGACGAGTATTCATATATATATATATTTATATCATATATATATTTTGCTCGTTAATTTATTACCAACTATTTTACATTCATTAATAAACTTGTTTGGTCGAGATGGTTTGATTCCAATTATGACAAATTAAAATTAAATCTCAAATCTCTTTCTGAATGATATAATAATTTATTTACTGTATATTTGGGTTAAAATTAACAAATTTTTATTGTTACCAATTTTTAGGGGAGATGTTAAACGAATAATCAATTATATTATTTTTTTTGCATATCGACTATCATATTTTTATTATTATTATTACTATCATATTTATTATTATTATTATTATCATATTTTATTGTTATTATTACCAGTTACGGGCACAGTATATGACGATTTATGTGTTACAGTACGATTTATCGAAAACTATTCATCCGCTAGCATAACTGCCTCCTTGATTGGTTCGATGTTCTATTTTTGGGATTGTTATACTACTAATCTCTTAATAACGATCCCGTGTTACATTACCTTAACATACATACTTTTTTTTTTTTTTGTCGCCACCGACATCAAATTTCAATCATTTTTGAAACGGCAATAAAATAATATACCAATATACTGACCAAATTATAACTAATAAGGTCGTACATTTTTTTTTTCTTTATTTATAAAATTTTAATACATGAAATTGGTTGGAAACAATAATAAGGGAGGTAAATACGATCGATATTTTACAATAAATTATGGTTTTAAATTATCATTTTTGACGTTCATAACGCTAATAATGTTAAGTTTACGATAATTGATCGTTAATATAACATATAACATGAATTTTAAATTTATTGTGCAAAATTTATAAAATTTATAAAATTTATTAAAATTGTAGATAAGAATACCGTATTTATTGTATATCAGATAAAATGTACAATAGATAAAAATATATAATATACAATAAATAAACGAAAGATAAAAATATATAACAGATAAAATAAATGACCGATAAAAACACTACAAAAATACTACAAAAATACTACACAAAATACTACACAAAATACTACATAAAATACTACATAAAATACTACATAAAATATTACATAAAAATCTCAAAATCTCCAATCTCTTAACAAAATAAATAATTTAATTCATCAGGTGTAACAATATTAATTCCTTGATTCTTTAATATATCAATAATTTCTAATTCTTCTTTCATCCAACCATCACCATACTTCTTAATTCCAATTGTTTTTAAAGAATTATGAATATTTTGAAATTTACATACTTGTAATAAATATTCTTTAGATGAAGAATTATTTTCTAAAGTAAGAATCCAATATTTTAAATTAGCTTTACAATTATTAGTAAAATAAATAAAACTTTGTAAATCAATATTAAAATCAAAAAATAAACATTCAATATAAATTAAATAATTTCCAAAATTTTTAACTAATGAAGCCATATCAATACCAAAATTTGATCCAATATTTAAGACATTTAATAATGATAAATCACATATAAATGGAATTATTGAATCAGAAAATGTTCTTGCATAAAATCTTATACAAAAATAATTAATATTTGGGCAAGATTCTTTTACTATTTGAACTGCTTTTGTAGTAGCATTGCTAAGAGTTAACTTTAATAATGATTCATTACAAAGATAATAAATTATTTCTTCTATGAGATCTCCCACTTCACAATACCATAATTTAAATTTTTTAAGATATAATTTACTATTAGATAAAACTACACAATTATTAAATCCCTTACAATATAAAAATTCTAAACGTTCTAGATGTTTTAATTTTGGTATAAATGATAAACTAATTTGTTTGAAATCAACACTATCAAGTATTAATTCTTTTAAAGTTTCGGATCGAAATTCTAATTCCAAATTATATGTAATTCTTTCAGGACTATCAATATATAGGAATATTCTCTTTAATGGTTGCGATTTAATAATGTCCAAATATTTTTTCACAAATATACTCTTGATTGATTTAATCCATAACTCCAAATTAACGATACTATCACATGATTTAGGCACCATATCTAAAAATTTGGAAGTATTTTGACGTTTTCTATCACTACTTATTAAATCTAAATTAAATATCGTTAAAGACCTTAGCCTTCTAATTCCAGGTTCATAATTTGTAAAAACGGAAAATTTTGGTAGATCAATATAATTTTTTTGTGTTACATTGGCTTCGAATTCCTGAAAGGCTGTGTTTTTACGAAAAATTCTATTGTATATTGCATTTACCAACTTTTGAACTTCACAATCCAAATAATTACCATTTTCATTTGATGATTCAATAGAGGTCCTAACGTGTTCAACTAAACAATCATGATTAATTTTTTTGACAAATTCTACGTATGCAAATAAAGGAGGTTGAGTATTTAAATTTATTGAACTAGGAATTAATGAAAGAATTTCATCCTCGTCGAAACATGATAGTATCGTGTTTATTAATGAACAGCTAGTAAAAGTCGCAATTTGTTTGACGAAAGGATTTTGCCAAATTATAGGAATCACAACTCTACAATAATATCTATTGAGAAATAAACAATTGTATAATGCTGAATTATCGAGAAGATTGAGTATTTTTCTAAAGCATTCGGCAGGTAAAATTGGTGAAGACATAATTTTTTTTTAAAAAAAAAAATAGGGATGAAGAACTGAACGAGATAAAGAACGAGATGAAGAATATAAGTTGCATAGATCGACTTTTTTATAACGTTTAAGGTGGTACCAGAGTTTCCTAAACCAAAAAAGTTTAAAATCTAACCTTAAAAGTTACATTTTGTTGATCATGTCAAAATAATTTAACGGAATGTTATCCCCTCATTCAAATGTTTGTTTGTCAAAAGAATATGCAGGGGGACTTGATCCTGTGTATCTATGTTACAAATAAACTAATCGTATTGTTTTTTCCGTTTAGGATAATTGAAATAATTTTAGAGGTTTGGACTTGGGACCGAATTTATTCATATACAGTATTATCGCGAATGCTTGTTCCAATCTCAGAATATTTAGGTAATAATAATAAAATGGGAAGTCATAGTAGAATTAATATCTAGAAATTTCTACTGATTAAAATAATAAAAACATCTCAAGTTCATATCATGTAATTACGTGTTAATAAAACCCTATAAAAAATTTTATCCGTTATTTCTGTAAAAACTCCGTAAAAATGAGCCTTTCACGGATCCATTCACGGAAAATGTAAATAATTCGATAAATTCCGTGGTATAAAGTTATTAATTCAGCTTTTTACGGAAAAAAGACGAAATATAAAAAACGGATCGACTTTTTTTACAGGGAAATCGGTTCACAAGGACCTTCGGAGAAAGGTAAATATAATAGTAATCTCCGGCAGATATTGTAGCTTTTTTCTTTTAATTGTTTTATAACCCCGTCGATGATTATGTCATGATGCTTATGTTGTCTGACTGTACGGTGTTCTTTATCATAACTATTGTAGTATATTTAAATAAATTATAATAGATATACTGTACTTACGTTAGAAATACTGTATATTCGTTATTTTAAAAGATAATAATAATAATATATAATATTCTATGCAACGACCCTAATATGAAATCTTTAATATTCGGTTTAAAGCCCAGCTGGAAATGATTAAGCGATTAAGGTTAACCAGTGAATTTTATCCGGTTCTAATATTAGGGCATGAATATTACGATGATATTACATAATCGAACGTTACGCCAACAAAAGTTACGGATTTTATAAAAAGGAAATTGATTGTTTTCTTTGAACATTTCTTAATAGTTATTAAGGAGTTCAATAGATGTTTCAAACGACAACTTTTGGTATTTTATTACTTTATACATCAAAGAATGGTGGTACCACTTAAATTGATTGGGTTATTGAAGACAAAGAAAAAAAAAAAAATTAAATAATTTATAATGAAAAATATACATACTATACATACATACATACATTATTTATTTATTTATTTATTTATTTATTTGTAATCAGTTAATAACGATGAATGGACACAGAAAAAAAAATTATCCATATTTTTAAAATCGAATAAACAAGATAAATGTAAAATTATTCTTTTTTTGTATAAATTATTTTTCTATATAAATTATAAACTTGGTAATTGGATTCTAGAAAGAAGTAAATGTTTCTCAAAATTTTTTTTTAAGTTGTACTAATAAATTGGTAATGATCATTTTGTAACACTTTATATACATTTGATTTGGGGATTAAAGTTTAAGTTTAAGAAAGAAAAAAATAAATAAAAAAATAAAAATAAATAAAAAAAAATAAGAAAAAGAATTATATTGGAAAGGCTCCTAAGAAAACACAATTTTTAATATTGTTTTCAAATTAAAATAAACAATAAAATAAATCGATTTTTTAAATTTGATATTATTTTTTATTTTTCATTTTTTTACTGATTGTTAAAAATTTTTTTGGTCATTTCATTGATTTACCGATTTACCATGATGTTAACAAATTTGATTTCATTGATAACTCAATAAACCAATAATATTTATGGAATATATCGGCTAAATTAAAAGTTGTGTAAATAATTGTAAATATTTGTAAACAATTCGGAATTATTGATATTTAGATAATGAAAATCATGAACTAATCGGTTAATCTCTCTCTTTTTTTTAACAACTTTTTATGTTATCTCAATTTTATCACAATTTTTCCAACGTTCATTTTTTTTCAACGTTTGTTTTTCCAACGTTCATTTTTCCAACGTTTGTTTTTTCAACGTTCGTTTTTCCAAAATAATAAACCAAATTATTATTATTATTTTTTTTCATATTTCTTATATTGCGCAAATATTATTTTATTTCACTTTGAAATTTTTCCCACATCATCATAATCTTATCCAATTCTGTCTCCTAAAAATTACTCATTTTGATAAAAAATCACACGTGAACTGAACTCAAAATTTTCTGTAACGCACGCTTGGAAAAATGTGATATGAACCGTATTTTGACGATCACTCCTTTTTGAAATCGGCCAAGCCATAAAGATTGTAAATTTTAGAAATCTAGGAAAAGAATTTATGGAATCTCTTGTTTTATAATACGAAATTATGAAATTATTGGCGGTTTAATTTTATAAACAAACAAATCTAGTAGTGGTATCATAAATTTTATTTAAAATAACTCAACGCTGTATAATAAACAGTATAATAATGAATTTTTAAATAAACGATATATAATATTTTATTTTATTTTATTTATTTTATTTGTGGTAGAAACTATTTTATTACTTAAAAAAATTTTTTTTTCCGGTTAAATTATCTGGTATAGTACCGTTTCACAATTCACGGGACTTTCGGCAAATATTGTTGCCGAGTTCAAAAAGACTCGCGGTCACGTGATATATATTTGAGTACGATAAACAATAGTTATTGCGTCAGTCACGCAAGATCATGCTATTATTATGAGTATCAAAATGTATAACTAAACTGCAAAACTTATTAAAGGATTAATTTGTAGTCATATTTAACCGATAAAAAAAAATATCAATTATTTAGCCATTAACAAAAAATATCAGTCCGTCAAAATCAGCATGATCCTAATAGATTCAATATATCAGACGGTAAATATTTTTTGGTCCTCTGACTCCTCTCATTGTAAATTTTGTCTTGAAGGTAATGTTATTTCTTTCATTTTATTTTGTTTTATAATTTGCATTTATTTTTATTTTATTTTATTTTATGGTTGATATGATTGAAAATACGCCGAAATATTTTTTTTAGTGAAACTTAGGATAAGATTATTCTTTTAAAATCATACATGTATATATTGTTGTAATGATAGTTTTTTTTTTAAAAAAAAAAAAGGTTGCGTAATTGCGTAATTGTTACACTAATCAATCTAATCATACATTGATACATCATACGTATGCAAATCATACGATCATACGCATGAATGGGTTATGTAGACTTATTGTAATTATACAAAGAGCGAGACTTGAACCAGAAAAAAATGTTATAACGAAATGACTTTATATTCTTTCTAGATCAAATTGTAGTTTCCACAAATTACGGTCACGATATTAAAATTTTTTATTTATTGAAATCGAATGGTTTGAGTGCGTTGTTCACTAGTACAGAGTTAGTAGATAGTTGTAATTTTTTTTTTAATACAAGTTTGAAAACAAATATATTTGACGAATACATAAAATTTCTTTATTTATAAAATATAAAATAATATAAATTTAAATAACAAATACATTTTAAACAACAAATACGTAATATATACGTAATATAAAAAAATGAAAATAATAAAAAAAAATGATAACAAAAAAATTTAAAAAAAAAATTGTATGTTAAATAAACAATTTCAAATTAATAAAACTCAAAGTCTGGATTTTGTATTTTGGTTGTTTCCTTTATGGAATTTATTATTAAGGAACCCTTCTTTACGGAGTTTATTTACTTTATTAATGAACTCTTTACTCTGGAATCTATGACGGAACTTTTCGAACTCTTCTTTATGGAATTCATTAAGGAACTCTGCGAGTTCTGCGAATGATTTATTTTTAATAAATTCTTGTATCTAAAGATCAAATTTTAAAATTAATATGTGTACTTTATTTATGAAGTTAAGGAAAAATTAAACACCTACTTTACTTGCGGTAGCTTCATCTATTTTAGTCATTTTCGGACGTTGGTCATAATTTAACGATTCAAATGTTTCTTTTAGCGCGTTTTTAATAATGTCGTTCCCTGACCCTCCTTCTTCAACAACCGTTGATTCAGTAATATATATTGTTTCATCTCCCTCTACCTTCACCTCTGTAGCCGTTTCTTGTAGGTGCTTAAGGAGTTCAGCAAATTTTGGGTCTTTGTGAGAGTTTCCACAGAAATGAGATGTTTTTTTTACATATTTAACGTATGGATGCTTTGCATTCCTTAAATGATTGAAATTGAATGGATGTTTTCCATGGTTCATGACATCGATGTGGTTCGGGTACTTTCCAAAAATTGAACCAGGTATTTTTAATGTCGGATGCTTAATATGATTCATCTGTCCAGGGATGAATTCTTTGCTAAAGAAATCAAATGGGTTTATGGGACCGATGTTTTCGAATACAGGTTTACCATCCCGCACCAACACAATAGCGTTATTATTATTTTGAATGAAGGCAGGTTCAAGTCCTTTGTTGGTATTGGTAGACATATTAAATGAATTTTACGTTTCAATTTATGTGAATGAATTTTATTATATCAGTAATTATTTTATTTTTCTTGAAATAAAAATTTTTACGCTAAAATTGAGGGATTAAATAACTAATTTTTTTTTGTTAAATTAATTAAGAAACTGATACAACTTCAAAAAAAAAAAAAAAAATTGTATCAGCCAATTCTACCTTTGTGGGCTTCGACAACAATATGAATGTGATGTACGACATGTTTTTTACTTATCAATAATTTGTAACAAATCCAAAATAGGGTTTTTTTAGAAAAATATTTTTATTTTTATTTCATATGAAACCATCTTGATCCATGAATAAATGTGTTACTAAAATACTAAAATAAAATATATTCTCTTTATCATCAGATCAAAAAAACAAAAGAAGCTTTTTTTTTTTAAATCATCTTTCAAAAAATCTTTTTTTTGTATTGATGATAGAATGCTTTATTTAGGTTAACAAAAAAGGAATGTTTCAAAGTAAACAAAAAGTTACCAGATGACCAATTTTAAGACGTAAATTGCGTAATAAAATCATATAGAACTTGATGAAACAAGTATAGTTTTTACGCCATTTTACTGTGGATGGCAAAAAAATTTTTTTTTATTGTATAATTAATTGATATGATTACGATAATTTTTTTTTTAAAAAAAAAAATTTAAAATAAATAAAACAAATAATAAAAATAAAATAAATAAAACAAATAATAAAAATAAAATAAATAAATAAATACGATAAATAAAATAAATAAATACAATTAATAAAATAAATAAATACAATTAATAAAATAAATAAATACAATTAATAAAATAAATACAATAAATATATGGCATAAACAAAGATGCATTATCTGAAAGAGTTGTTACATACAATATTGCTTTATAAAGTCATTTATTGATCGAAAAAAGGTGACACAGCCATCAGACCTTATCTGTGATAATTACATATTTTTATTGTATGGCGATCATATGTTTTTTAAAAATTTCAAACTCCGTGTGAAACAACGATTTAGCCGTTCATATTTGCAGAAAAAAAAAATTATTTCATGTCATGTTTTTAAAATGTATATTGTAAATGTTGACGTAATAATAATTCTATACTGTATTACATTCAATTCTTTTGTTTTGAATGATGAGACCGCCCTAAGTTATTTTAAAAAAAATAATTAAATTATAATAATCGGAGCGAAGTAATTTATTTTAACAGACTTCTATTTATCAATTACATCGCTAACATTTGTAGAATTTATCTTGTTGAAACATAAATTCTATAAATTTCTTTTTTTCTATTGATAATCTATGGATGAAACTAACAATTAATATTTAGTTTAGAGAAGTTAAAGTGTGTAGTTATGTATTCACTTTATCATCGAAATCGGCTTATTTTGGTTTAAAAAAAATAACAAAATGAGCTTCTTATTTTGGTTAAAAAAAAAACAAAAGAAGTTCTTTTTTTCTGAAATCATCTATTAGAACTTTTTTGTATTGGTTATTTTTCTTCGATAAGATGATAAAATGCTTTATTTAGGCTACAAAAAAGAATGCTTCTAAATAAAAGATACCAGATGACCGAATTTTGAAACGTAAAAAATCAATAATGAACCTGAGTGAACAAGTATAGTTTTTACGCCATTTACTGTGGATAGCAGGAAAATTTTTTTTTATTGTATAGTTAATTAATATGATTGCAATAATTTTAATTTTTTTTTTAAAAAAAAAAATTTTAAAATAAATAAAATATTACAATAAATATAATATTAATAACGACATAAAAATAATTTATTATTTGCTACTTTAACAGTATTGTATAGCTAATCAATATGATTGCGATAATTTTAATTTGTTTTTTTAAAAAAAAAAAAATTTTAAAATAAATAAATAAAATATTACAATAAATATAATTTTATAATAACGACATAAAAATAATTTATTATTTGCTACTTTAACAGAGATGTCATTATCTGCATTATCTGAAAGTGTTGTTGCATATAATATCGATTTATATAGTCATTTATGGTCTTATGGATCAAAAAAGGTAAATTTTATGTTATTATGTTACAAACTATCATAGCTATCAGACCTTATCTAAGATCTGCCAATTCCAATTCTTGATTACATATTTTCATTGTATGGCGATCGTATGTTTTTTTAGCCTAGTCAAACTCCGCGTGAAATGACTATACATATTGAAAAAAAACTTTAAAAGTCACAATATCACTATTTTAAGTTTATCATAGTTAGCCGTTCAAAAAAAAATTTATTTCATGATTACATTAAAATGTATAGTATTTATGTTGGCGTAGTAAATTATTTATACTGTATTACACTAACTTAAAATTCTTGTTCAGAACCACCATTTATTTAAATTATTTTTTAAAAAAATAAGAAATAGAGATAATTATAATAATAATAAAATAATTAGAGCGAAATAAAGTTTTTCTTATTTCAACAGACTTTTATTCATCGAGAAATCATCAATGATATCGCTAACATTTGTAGAATTTATCCTGTTGAAACATAAATTCTATAAATTTCTTTTTTCTATTGATAATCTATGGATGAAACTAACAATTAATATTTAGTTTAGAGAAGTTAAAGTGTGTAGTTATGTATTCACTTTATCATCGAAATCGGCTTATTTTGGTTTAAAAAAAAATAACAAAATGAGCTTCTTATTTTGGTTAAAAAAAAAACAAAAGAAGTTCTTTTTTTCTAAAATCTTCTATAAAACTTTTTTGTATTGGTTGTTTTTCTTTGATGAGATGATAAAATGCTTTATTTAGGCTACAAAAAAGAATATTTCTAAAGAAATGATACCAGATGACCAAATCTTGAAACGTAAATATGCATAATAAAATCAATAATGAACCTGATGTAACAAGTATAGTTTTTACGCCATTTACTGTGGATAGCAGAAATTTATTTTTATTGTATACTAGTTAATTAATATGATTGCGATAATTTTTAATAAATAAAATATTACAATAAAATTAATTTTATAATAACGTCATAAAAATTATTTATTATTTACTACTTTAATAGAGATGTCATTATCTGCATTATCTGAAAGTGTTGTTACATATAATATTGATTTATATAGTCATTTATGGTCTTATGAATCGAAAAAGGTAAATTTTATGTTATTATGTTACAAACTATCATAGCTATATCAGACCTCATCTAAGACAATTCTTGATTACATATTTTCATTGTATGGCGATCGTATGTTTTTTTTAGCCTAGTAGAAAATTTCAAACTCCGTGTGAAATGACGAAAAAAACTTTAATAGTCACAATATCACTATTTTAAGTTTATTATGGTTAGCCGTTCATGTTTGTGGGATTATTTTAAAACGTATATTATATTATTTTGGCGTAGTAAATTATTTATACTGTATTACACTAACTTAAAATTCTTGTTCGGAACCACCATTCATTTAAATTATCTTTAAAAAAAATAAGAAGTAGAGATAAATAATAATAATAAAATAATTAGAGCGAAATAATTTTTTTTTATTTCAGCAGACTTCTATTCATCGAGAAACTATCAATGATAACGCTAACATTTGTAGAATTTATCTTGTTGAAACATAAAATTTCTTTTTTTCTATTTGATAATCTATGAATGAAAGAATGTGTTACTAACAATTAATATTTAATTTAGAGAAGTTAAAGTGTATAGTTTTGTATTCACTTTATCATCGAAATCAGCTTATTTGGTTAAAAAAAAAATAACAAAATGAACTTCTTATTTTGGTTAAAAAAAAAACAAAAGAAGTTCCTTTTTTTGAAATCTTCTATCAAAACTTTTTTGTATTGGTTGTTTTTCTTTGATGAGATGATAAAATGCTTTATTTAGGCCACAAAAAAGAATATTTCTAAAGCAATGATACCAGATGACCAAATCTTGAAACGTAAATATGCATAATAAAATCAATAATGAACCTGATGGAGCAAGTATAGTTTTTACGCCATTTACTATGGATAGCAGAAATTTTTTTTATTGTATAGTTAATTAATATGATTGCGGTAATTTAATTTTTTTTTAAAAAAAAAAAATAAATAAATAAATAAAATATTACAATAAATATAATTTTATAATAACGACATAAAAATAATTTATTATTTGCTACTTTAATAGAGATGTCATTATCTGCATTATCAGAAAGTGTTGTTGCATATAATATCGATTTATATAGTCATTTATGGTCTTATGGACCGAAAAAGGTAAATTTTATGTTATTATGTTACAAACTATCATAGTTATCAGACCTTATCTAAGAACTGCCAATCCAATTCTTGATTACATATTTTCATTGTATGGCGATCGTATGTTTTTTTTAGCCTAGTAGAAAATTTCAAACTCCGTGTGAAATGACGAAAAAAAACTTTAATACTCACAATATCACTATTTTAAGTTTATCATGGTTAGCCATTCATGTTGTGGGAAAAAAAAATCATTATGTTGGCGTAGTAAAAAATCCTAACCTTATTTATACTGTATTACGCTAACTTAAAATTCTTGTTCGGAACAACATATAAAATAATTAGAGCGAAATAAAATTTTTTTCTTTATTTCGACAGACTTTTATTCATCGAAAAACCATCAATGATATCGCTAACATTTGTAGAATTTATCTTGTTGAAACATAAAATTTTATAAAATTTTTTTTTTACTATTTGGTAATCTATGGATGAAAGAATGCGTTACTAACAATTAATATTTGGCTTAGTCATAAATATCAAATTAAAGTGTGTATCCACTTTATCATCAAATCAGCTTATTTTGGTTAAAAAAGAAAAAACAAAGAAAGCTTTTTTTTTTTGAAGTCATCTATTAAAACTTTATTGTATTGATTGTTTTTCTTTGATAAGGAGATAAAATGCTTTTATTTAGGTTACAAAAAAAGAATATTTTTAAAGATAAGATACCAGATGACCAAATTTTGAAACGTAAATAGTATGCATAATAAAATTAATAATGAGAACCTGATGGAACAAGTAATAGTCTTTACGCCATTTATTGTGGATAGTAGAAAAATTTTTTTATTGTATAATTAATTGATATGATTGCGATAATTTTTTTTTTTTGTTAAAAAAATTTAAAATAAGTAAAATAACATAATAAAATAATACAATAAATATAATTTTTATAATAACGACATAAAAAACAATTTATTTTATTTGTTAATTTACAGAGTTGCATACAATATTGCTTTATAAAGTCATATTTACGAGTCAAAAAAAGATAATTTTTAGCGATCGTATGGTTTTTTAGTCTAGTAGAAAATTTCAAACTCCGTGTGAAATAACCATACATATTGAAAAAAAAACTTTAATAGTCACAACATCTCTATTTTAAAATATTCCCATTCATCATAATTAGCCGTTCATATGTGCAGAAAAAAATTATTTTACGACTATATTAAAATATATATTATATATTATCGGCGTAGTAAAAATCCCACCTTATTTATACTGTATTACAATAACTTAAAATTCTTTTGTTTTGAATGTTTCGGAACTAAACATAAATTATTTAAGTTATTAAAAGAAAAGATTATTATAATAATAAAATATTTGAGCAAATTAAAATATTTTTTTATTTATTTATTTCAATAGACTTCTTATTCGTCGAGAAACCATTGTGAAATATAATATTCTATAAAATTCTATCTTTCTATTTGATAATAATTATCAAATTGTTTTATTAAAAAAAATAAATTTTTTTTTATTTATTAAAAAAAAAATCAACGATAAGAAAAATTTTCTAAATAAGAGATTCCATTTTAAAACGCCAACATGCATTAAAGTTTCTCAAATATAATAACTTTAGTAACGAATAAAACCTGATAAAAACAGGTGAACAACTTTTTGATGTGATAAAATGATAATTTTAATTTTTTTAAAATTAAAAAAAAAAAAAATCAAAATAAATAACAAATAAATGGGCAACCCATTTGAATTGTTTAAATGATCTGCATTTAAAATTACTTTATATGTCTTCGCTTTGTCCGTCAAAAAAGGAAATAATTGATCTACACTTTGAATACTTAATAAATATTAATTTTAGCGATCGTATATTTTTTTAGTTTAGTTTTAATTTTAAAATTAGAAAATTTTCAAAAAAAAGACTATACATTCTGAAAAAAAAAACTATATCACAAATTTAAAATAATTCTTTCAACATGATTAGCCGTTGCATATTTGCAGAAAAATATAATCAAATTTGTGTTGGTGTAATAAAATTCTAACCCTGTTTATACTCACTTTATACTGTATCACACTGTCACAAATCTAAATTCATAAAATTTTTTGGCAATCAATCAAGTTGTGACAATGAAACTATGTTCAGCGCTGCGGCCGCTGCGCCTATAAATGGTGCGATTCCACGTGACAATAATTAAGTCACGGGATCAATACAGCATCAATCCATATTAAACGTGTCCAGAAATTATTTTGTTACAAAAAAAAAGAAAGAAAGAAAATTTCGTCACCGTGAATTTACTTTTACTTCCAAAAAAAAATAAAATAAAATTTCAAAAAAGAAAAAAAAAAAATATTTAAAAATTATTAACATCTAATATTTTTGACAATTAATTTCAATTAATTTTATGATAAAAAAATACGAAAATTATAAAACGCGCCATGACGCTAGTAGATTAGCTAAGCTGATTCTATTAATATAATAATTATATTCCACTTTGTAGTATTATAACTCTACAACATATACTTCACATATATTCATATTTCATATAAGTTTTCGATTTTTTTTTTATTTTACAATATTTGCAATACAAAAAAATAGTATTAATTAAATCTTTTTTTCTGACCATTTTCGAGGGTGCCGAGCAATTTTAATTAGTATAACTTGTTTAGTTTAGACCCTAGTTTTTGAGAAACGTTGAGCGCCAGTGGTGTGATTTAGTAAAGTCAAAAAAATTCGGCTATTCCTGTTTTGATAATTTTCACCCCCACCATGCATAACATTACAGTCGGACCTCTATGTACTGATACAACTGTTTGAGAAAAAAGTATCGGCACATCAAATTATCGATATATTAAGAAAATTTTATGTACCGATATTGATCAAATATAGGTATGATAAAATTTTACTGTAATCGCCACTGGATATAACGAACCCTCCGTTCCAGGTTCGGTATATAGTGAATTCGTAATATAATATACCGAAATTCTGGATAATTTGGGCCAAATTTGTAGTGCCGGCCAGAATTAGAATTTCGTTTTGACATAATTTTTTCGTAAAAATTACTGGCCGGCGCTATAAATCTGGCCTGGATTAGTTTATAGTCACATGACTGTTCGTTATAGAAGATATGATAATATTATAAGGCTAATATATAGGGATCGGTTTGAATGCGTTATATAGTGATTTATTATAAAAGTTCGTTATATCCAGTGAAATTATTTATAAAAAATCAGTTCTGGAAATTCCGCTTCGGTATAACGAGGTTTCGGTACAAACAGGTTCGTTATAACCAGTGGCGACTGTATATAATAAAATATCTCAATTTAAATTAATTGTATAACAACGAAATTTTATACATTTATTATTATATTATTATATTACTAGGTTATTAGCATAAATGAATAATATATTATTGCTAAACCCATCCGTCTATTGAATAAAACTATCTAATGTAGTTTACTTTACATCATTAATATGTGATGTTAATACTCGACATCTTAATTTTTTCAAAATATTTAATTTATCTGGATTAGTAAATATGATGAATACTTAGAAAATAAAACAAGATCATCCAGATGACTTAAGGTTTCTTTGGTTGAAATCACGCTATCCTTGGATTTCATCACGGGCACAATTTCATCATCTGCTATTAAACAGACACAAATATGAAAAAAATCCACTACATCCATAGGATCATTGAATGGAAGTTGGTAAATCAGCTCTTGTATCTCCATGAACGAATTGCTCGATCATCATGATCCTCATTTGTAGCGCTCATTTCATCTTGCGGAAGAATTCGTTGCCAACAATTAAAAATTGTCTGCTGACTTACAGAATCTTAAGCATTAGTTAATTGATGGCATCATAAATATTTAGTGGAATGACTTCTTATTCAATTCTTGTGAAATTTTGTACTCCTCGATCAAGTAATTTCTGATGTTGCGCCTGAACTATCAAAAATACACAATTTAGATAATTTGAATCTAGCTTGTAAAACATCTATGTTAATATTAATAAATAATAAAATATATTACCGACCGTAAAAGAATTAATAATACCTGCATCACGTAAATGTGCTGTAGTATTTAGTGTTCACATTTGTTTTCATTTATTACATGCGCTTATTATCAACCAGTAAAGATGGCGATTTTGCAATCCGCATTTGCCAATCCAATTTTGCAAAGATAGTCATTCCATATTGAAAGCTGCGTCCATGCAGTAGAATTCCAATAGTAATTATCGATAAATCTTCTTTTTTTTCCCATGGGATTGATAATCATGGATAAAAGTAGCTTCAATTTCTCATGGGCAGTAGCGTAACACATTTTTTGATTTTTTTTTCAGAAAGTGGACCTTGTACTAGTGTTTTGGAAGTTCAAGATCCATACAGTCCTAAAATAAAAAGAAAAAAATATTATTCATTTACTAAAAAAAAAAAATTTAAGATTACCTGTTTCATCATAATTAAAAACATCGTCCAAAACATAACTTTAATGATTTCACGCAAAATTTTCCTTTCTTCTTCTAATATTTCCAATGTGCACTTTTAGCTTCACCCCATTTAATGTACTGTTTTAAATTACGACGTTCTTTAAATCCATTTATCCATTTATTAGGAGCTTTAAATTTATTGACTTCAAACTCCCGTGCAAAATTTAGCTTTTACACGTAAAATATCCGTCAGTATTTGGAATAAGGTCTGCACTCTGCAGTAAGTGTGTTTGTTGTTCGAAAGAGCCTTTTCAATTTAAAGAAAACGTGTAGACTTATAGTATATTTATCGCACATTGAAGATCTGACACACTTTATTACAATTTCGACACAACATATAAATATAATTCGGATCTTTTTCTTGGATACTCTCTAAATGATTCCGGTGAAGTTTTGATTTCATCACATAATAAACGTACAATGTGTATAAACAAATGGAAAATACAAATTGACATTTATTTTTAATTTCAAGTAAAATTTATGAATAATCCGATTTTAACAAGAATCAGAAATAAATATTGTTTGACAATGAACGAAAAATTATTTTTATAAAAGAATTTTAATTTGTAAAAGGAATTAATTTATAGTTAATTGGTTGGTTTAATTTATTTTTAATATCACCCCTATAAAAAATTTATCAGAAAAATGATCACGTGTCTGAGTTTCTTCGAAACAAAAACTAGAAAAACGATCATTTATCAGAGTTTTTTACCGTTGCAAGCCTGTAATTAAACGATGTATTCACCTCTTCTAAGTAAAAATAAAAAACAATAAATATTTATCGGATTTTTTCCAGAATTTATAAAGCATGATACTTGAAAATTTTTTTTTCCACCACGTAAATAAATCGACAAGCGGAGCTGATGTGAATTGACAATGGTATGAAACAGACGAAGGTAACTCATAAAAAATAGTTTAAATTTCAACGAACTAAAGGGCAGGATGAATTAATAGGTAAAGATGATCTTCGGAGAACTCGGAAGATGCCAATCAATAACGCTACTAATTATTTTCAGAGGATGTTCAATTTTTTGAAGCGAGGGAAAGTCTAACGGGTTCGACGGTTAATAAAAATAATTTAGTTACAGATCTTAACAAATTGAATTCATAATTTAGTGGTATAATCAAAATATTAATGTGAATGGAGAAGGATCAAAAGGTAAAGGTAAAGAGGTTGAGACGGATAATGATAAATTAAATGCAAACAAAAAACGCGCAAACTCAGGGAAGTAGGGATGATAGTAATAGTGAGTAATCATGCAATAAAGTAATCTTTTATACTGTAGCTTACTTAGTCACAATACAGTTAGGTTTTTGTAGAATTTCTTTTGTATTAGTTTAAATACTTTATTGAGATGATGTATTTACGTCTATATTGAAATTAATTACGTTCTGTAATTACTCCAATAAAATTTTTATAAAAAAAAAATGGTCAAAAGCTTCCGTATACAAAACGTGTTTTGCAAGATATGGAATTGTATTTCAAAATGTATCTAGCCGTATCTCTCAGTATAAAAAACGTATCTACTTTTTTTATAGGGATTAGAAACTTAACTATAAAAATTGTGGTGCTAAAATTGTGCAAATTTGAACAACTGAAAATGAAAAAAATCGGTTAACATGTGTTCTTAGAGTTCTTGCAGATGGTACAAACTTACCACCAACTGTCATTTTTAAAGATAAGCAAATGCCAAGGAATTTATCTTTAAAGATAGACTTCGTGAAAAGTGGAATATCTGGACGAGTTCTGATAAATTTTCTTATACTAAAGGTGGGAATTTGAGAAAGCCCGAATTTGCAAATGGATACTGAGACATGACGGAAATTCCAAAAGAAATGATTGTAAAGTCATTTAAAAAATAAAAAATGCGGTATTAGTAACGCGATGGATGGGTCAGAAGATGATTTGTTTGGACAAGATAAAAGAGGAGGAATTTGATGAAAACGAAAAAGAAATTATAGATATAGATAGTGATTCGGCTGATGAATTAGATGAATTGGAAGATGATGAACTAAATAATGATTTGTATTAAAAATAAAAATTTTAAAATATGAAATATAATAAAAATTTTTTTTTCAAATTTGGGTGGTTCTTATTCAGAAGACGGAAGGATACGGTAATTATTTTCACATTATTAGACAAATAAAATAATGAATTTTTTTTTATTATTCTTATATTAATTTATTATTTTGAATGAAGTCAGATGATACAACTGAATATCACAGTGATTTATGTTAACTTATTTAGAAGAATTTTTCTAAGGGGTGATAACTGAAATTATGATGATCGACCAGCATTAAAAAAATATAGTGCCGGTAAAAATTGATGATTCTGGCCAACGGTGATGATTACCCCCGGTGATTTGAAGTAAAAATCTATTTAGAAAATACTTTTTACATTAATTTATCATACAGCATTCTGTATTTATTGATAAAAGTATATTATACTTAAAAGAAAATTTAGCATAATCTTATTTGTTCATATTTAAATTAGAAATTGAAAGTTATTTTTTAATCTACGATCCTGATCTTAGTTCATCTTGCATCGCGGATTCATGAACAGCCTTCATCATGTCATTTTGACCTTTACGTCGCAGAGAAAATCCATTCCTTCTAATAAACCCATAAAGCCAACGTTCTGAGGCAAGAAAATTTTCACCATCTGGATAAACTTGGGCAAACTCTCCGATTAAAACTTCTTTCATATAAAATTTAGCCACTTTAGAAGTCACTGCAATACCATCATTTTGAAGTTCTATAAGCCAATTTTTTAAACTAGCTTCAGCTTCAGGATAATTTGCTTTTCTTCCTGCACCAATACGTCGACTTTCCCCTTTTGCCGACTTAAGTTTATCTTCCCGATTTTTCCAACGTGATATCATTGAATGATCAATAGAAAAATGACGTGCAGCTTCTCTTTGACCATGATTTTTTGCATATTTCAAAATCTTAAGTTTTTCACTGGCAGAATATGATGACCTTCGAATTTTTGACATCGTGCGTGGAAAAAATGTATGTAAAATAAGGGTAAAGTCGAATATATATAGATTTATGTAATATAAAAATTTTTCAAAGCACAAAATAAATTTTTTCTATGTATAAAAAAAAACTACAGAATTTCTTTAAAAAAGTGGTTCTTAGGATATGGGTTAGTCAATTGCGAATTTCTAATTTTTTTAATTGAAAGATATAAATAAAGAGATTATTTTTATCATGAATACTATCCTAAATATCGTGTGATTTCAATGATAATCGTAGTCTTGTGGCTTGTGGCTTATGTGGCTTTGTAATAATAGTAATTAGTTGGTGCGAAGCTGATCCGTCCGGCACGTAACGATGTACAACAATAAAACATATAAGCAACACTTCGGGCTTATAACCGCTTACCGTTTCCCGACAGCCTAACGCTGGCCATTTGATCACGTGTTCTAACATAACTCTGCATAACTCTGGCGAAACCTGTCGGGCAAATGTCCTGTAAGGAAATCCTTATATTTCCGTGTTTATTTTCTTTTTTATTCCATAAATGTATCATATCCACGGAGTTTTTATAGAAAATGCGGATAAATTTTTTTTACAGGGAATATTTAAATGTACTTTTCAGCCATAAAAAGAATAAAAATAAAATAATAATAATAATAATAAAAGAATTAAAATGATGACCAAATTAAGTATAGACGTTCTATAAAAATACTCTGTCTTTAGTAAATGAAACTTGGAATGAGATTATTTTTCTAATTCTATGAAAAAATCCTTGGGAATATCTAATATACTGAAAGAGGAAATTTCGAGATTTAATTATTTTACCTTTATCAAGTGAATCAAGAAATAAATTAAAAAATCAACATTTGGATAACCTTAGATATAGAAATGCGCTTTCACTTGCTACTGATACTAATGCTAACAACACTACATAAACAAAAACGAGTTGAAAGCACATGAAAGATGATTAGTGATGAAACAGCTTTCCACTTATACTGTAACACCATAAAGCATTGGTGTAAAAACGCAAGGCAATCCTATACAGAAATTTTAGAAAGACATATCCTAAAAGTGTGCAATATGTTACGAGGTAGATGGTGGCTGCAACAAGTGAACAAGATAATACTAAGCATACCAGTCGTATTGCTAGGAAATTTCTTGATAATAATGCTAATAGTTCAGACCTAAATAAATCCTACTGAAAATCTTTAAGCAATCATAAAAAAAACGTGAAGCAAAAAAATCTTAGTGAATCGGAGCATTTTTGGAGTAGCGAAATATCTTAAATAGCCTTCTAATTAATCTTATTAATCTTGTAAACTAAATGCTACGGCGTTGTAGAGAGGTTATTGAAAAAGTTGGTGGAAAAATATTATATTAATTTTTATGATAAAGTTAACATGATCATGAAAAATAGTCATTTTTTTACATATTACTGTAAAATGACGAATTGAAGAATAAATTAAGATTGTTATGTGCGTACGTGCATTTTTTTCAAGTTAATTCGAAAGTTTCTTACACATTAAGATCGAGATTATTAATCCGCAAATTTTAGATATTATTTTTTACCTTAATAAAATTGTTAAATTTAAAAATTAAAGGTTTGTTTTTATTAGAGATAAAATCTAATATAATTGAAGTATTCTTTCGGAATGTCTGTTTTGTGTGATATATGAAGTTGATGGTAGCTATGGTATTGTTATGCAGTAAAATGTTGCGCAGTAATCACATGATATAACTGGACCCGTGATGCCGATCAATATAGCAAATGTCGAACATGTTCGATATGTTGCATATGTCCGATATATAGAACATATAGTATATATGGGTTATTATGCAGCCAAATAGGATCATGTTGTTTTTAACATACTGATATTTTTTAAATAAATTATTATTGAGTAAATATCTCTGATATTTTTGACGCATTGCGTCATATAGATTATTATCACACATTTACTATGCTTTTCATATGGAATTGTACAATTATTGTAAGATTTATTACATTTAATAAACAGAAATTGTACAATTTTTATATTTTAAATTTGTAACTATTATTTATTTCAATTTTTAAATTTAGTTGAAAAAATAATTATATTAATGATTTTCGCGTTATAAAAATATGTATCACGTCAGTATGTGATATAATCCGCAGTTCGATGATGATCAACTTTTTCATTTTAAACTTTTTTTTCTTTTAAACTTTTTTTTTTTTCTTTTAAGCTTTTTTTTTCTTTAAACTTTTTTTTTCTTTTAAACTTTTTTTTTTAAACTTTTTTTTTACATTCTTCCCTTTTCCTTCAGTTCGTTCGCCCTTTCACTTCCCTTTGTACTTCCCTTCGTCTCTCCCTCGTTCTTTCCTTTTCATTTCCTCCCTTTTTCCTTTACTTTACATTTCCCTTCTCTTTTCTTTCTCTTTTCCCGCTTCTCTCGCACTTTTTGTTGAAGAAATCTTAAGCGTTTCTCTCCTTTGGTGCAAATTTCTGGTAAGTTCATCTTTTTTTTAATTGTTTAATTTTAATGAACAATTTCTAATAGTTGTTTTTCTTACTTTTTTTTTAGACTTTGAGTATTTGGACGTGTGGGAATAATGGTGGGAGATTTTTTTTCTTAAATTTTAATTATCTATTTTAACAATTTTTTCTCTTTTTTTTAGATGCTTCTTACGGTCTTGTTGGATGTGGAATTTTGGCGTAACAATTCAGTAGGGTAGAGGTTTTTTTTGAATTATTCTTTGCCGAAACATTTCCTAACACTTTTATTTTTCTTCTTTTAGGCAGCTCTTCAGCTCTTTGGGCAGGGACTTTAGTGGGAGTATTATTTTTTTTTAGTTTCTTCTAAAAATGGTGGTTACTTATTTCTTTTTCTTTTTTAGGTGGCTTTTTGGTCTCCTGGACATGACATCTTGTAAATTTTCAAATTTTTCCTTTAATATTAACAAACAGATATTAATAGTTCTTTTTTTTATAGATATTTCTTCAAATCTCTTTGGATACCATTATGGTAAGTTGTTTTTTTCGTCTTAGTTTATTTATTATGATGAAATGTATATTGATGTTTCAAATTCTATCTTTTTTTTTAGACGGGTCTAGGCGCATGGGAAAGGAAATCAGACTATATATTTTTTTGAATTTAATTCTTTTAGCAAAATTTTGATAAAATGATTTTTTTTGGCAAAACATTTTATTAACTTTTGCTTTTTGTCTTTTTTTTTTAAATACCAATGAGGTACCATTTCTTGACTTAGGAATATCGAAGGGTGTCATAACTTAAAAAATGGGAGGTATATTCACAGTAATGTACAAAAACAATTTGGAGTTGACTTTTACATTTATGGAAACTGTAATCCCAAACCAAGTGGCCAAAGACGAACCAGAAATTCTCAGCAAACCAAAGATATTCTATAGATCATTATATAAGTCTTTGACAAGTACAATAAAGTACACAATATCATCCAATTTTGAAAGAGGCAATAGCTCATTTTACGATCAAAAATTTCTTAGGCGGAAATTTATTGTAGTAGTAAGACCATATCTTGTTCTGCTATGTCAAATCCATATATTGTATAATTTATCATATTTTTTTAACTTAATTTTTTTTATATTCCATTCTACCTTATATTATTTTTAATTTTTTTCACCAATTTAGATCATTGAATAAAGACATCAATCCTCATATATTTTTTATAAATTTTAATAGATTGTATTTCATATATACACAGTAATTCGTATATGAATAATAAATCAAACATGTAAAAATAATATACAAATTTATTCTAAATGTTACATAAAAACATTGCAAGTTTATGACGAATTTACTTTGAATTCTATATAAAACATTACAAGTTTACTACAAATTGTTTACAAATACTGTACAAATGGATGCTCATAATCATATTAAATTTGTAACTTACATTTTTTATACAAAAAATCAACATAAACTTTTTACTGGGGATCTTGGATGTCTGCATAATAACACAGTTATTAGGTAGGGGGGTTAAAATATCATCTGAACTGCTTTGCAGTTCGGTGATATTTCAACTCACCTACCCAATAACTATTATATATATAGACCCAATAAAAAGTTTTTGTTGGGTTTTTGTGAAAAAAATGTAAAATAAGTTAATATAACAAATTTAGTACAATTATGAGCATCCATTTGTACAATATCTGTAATGTTTTTGTATGGTATTTGAAATAAATTTGTTATAAACATGCATTATTTTTATATAGCATTTGAAAGTAATTAATTGTAAATTTGCAATAGACTTGCACTTTATATTTGTGTTTTTGGTTAAGAGCACCAATAAAACTGAGAGAAATTACCCAATTACAGATTTAGAATGTTTAGTAATATATAGTATATGGAGTTGAATATTTCCATAAATTTCTGATAAATAAAAGATTTAAGATAATTACTAATCATGCAGCACTTAAAAGTTTAGTAAATGAGAAAATTCCAAAAGGAAGGTGTGTCAGATGGATAATGAAATTGTAACAATATGATTTCTTTGTAGAATATAGACCAGGGAATATAAATGATAATTAAAATCAATTAAATTAGTGTAATAAACAAATTAAAAGCCCAAGTCATATTGAATATTTAATGAAATAAAATTAGTAATGAAACACTCCTTGGCATAAAAGAATTTTTGAATTTCTAGATAGAAAATCAGAATTTAAAATAGAACAATCAAAACCCAATTTTGGTATTATTCTGATAAAATAAACAAATTATCACAAGAAGAGTTTGTTTATTTAGAGATGTAAACAATAATTTAAAAGATACACCAAGATCATTTAAAGATGCACCAGTAAAATTGATGATGATCATTTAACTGCAGGAAGAGAATTTATTATAAAAAGACAACATTCAGGATAATAGAACAATATCATACAAATCTTAATTTTAATAATAAACTAATCACTTTTTCAAGAAACCAAAACCCAAAACCTGAAAACCAAAATCTGAAACCCAAAACCTAAAACCCAAATTAAAAATAAATTCAACTGTTGAGCAACTCAAGGAAGTTCTTAACTAATCCAACCCTCAAAACTTTAAAATTAGGACTGATTTAAATTAAAAATGTAAGAGATGTTTAGAAAGATGTTAACAAAACTATTACAGCTTGGATAGGGAATATGGAGAACTAAAAGCTGTAATAAGTAACCTTCAAAAACACAAAGAACCTATTGAATGTTTCAAGCATTTAACCGTAACTTATCACCCTCCATATAATTGTAATAAATCTAAATGCACAAGATGTGGATCTTGGGTACACAGTAAAGAAGTGTGTAATGACAAATTATACTATTGGAATAGGTTATATTTGTGCAAGTGTGATGGAGAATGGTGTAAAAGACAAAGATCAGAAGCCCAATCCAAGGGAAGCAATCATTGTTGTACCTGCCAAAACCAGTTATCTTTTATGAAGCCTATATTAACTATAATATTTGAAAGTTAGGATGTAATGAATGCTATAAAAATAGTATTAATAATAAATAGACCATCCACTCCAGATACTGATGAAAGTAATAAAAAGCCCAAATTTAATATACCAGAACCAGAAGACCCCATGGAAGAAATGGAGTTAGATCTACCCAAACCCAACAAAGGAAAAAGAAAGCAGGAATATCCTAAAATTAGATGCACAAATTGTGATAGGGAAGAAAGCCCACCAATTATATTAACAATTTAGGCATTTGCCCTAAATATAATGAGAAGAGAGAAAGATTAGAATTGATAGGAAGTACCTCTTGCATAAAACTTGTACAGTCTGTCAATTAAAAACTGATGATTTTGAATCATGATCATCAGGAGCAATAGTCTGCAGGAAAAAATATAATGGTGTATTAACCATTAAGAATATGGTTAACAAAGACAAATCAGAAAAGCCCCAACTCCAATCAATACAGGAAAAGTTAAGGATTTGGATAGACAGATATGGATATGACCTAGAGGATGAAGATGGCAGAAAGGAAGAACAAAATATATTCAGAAGCATGTCCAAAAAAATACAAAAATATTTTAATAAGGAATTTAAAGGAAGGATATTTTCTGAATATCCAAAAGAAGAAATTGAGAAGGCGTTAGATTATGTAGTCCTCCAGAAATAACAGATATAATAGCTGAACATATAGAAGAAAAGGAATTAATCCAAGTTGAATATATCAGGACTATTGATGATATTATTGGATGAACTGAAGAAATCCAACAACCATAGGAAATGAATGGAGAATTTGTATGGCCAGAAGAAGAACCAATGAAAGGCCCACCTCTACAATAAACATAATTCAAAAAATAAACTCCACTGATAATAGAATAATTGAACTTCAAAACCATATTGCAAAATTGAAAAATGAAATTGGAACAAAAGATCAAATGAATGAAGGCTTAAGAAGACAATTAGAAGAAACTCAAGCCCAACTTAATGAAATAGAGAGAATGTGTAATGAAAATGCAGCCATGGTAATGAATGCCCAAGAGTGGATAAATTATTTCAAGATCAAGTATGAAAGAAGAAACAAATATGTAAATGAGTTGAAAAAAAAGGTAATATTTGTTAATGAAATATGTTAACAAAATGAATGATTTGAAAGATAGGATAGAAGATTTAGAATGAGAAATAACTTTTGGAAATGAAATATTTGATCAAATGATATATTTCAATATGACAATTAGTTTAGATATAAACATAGATCCTTTTATGGAAAGCATAAAACTTTTAAAATGTTAATTGAATTTTTATAAATTAAGCCTAATTTTACAATACCAAACTCAAAATTTCAAAATAAAATAAAAATATGTAAAAATAAAAGATAAATGGCATTTTATTTTATATACTAAAGACTCAAACTTCAAATTCAAATATTTTACAGATAATGAAGCAATGTTACTTAAACTAGAAGAAGTAACTAAAGAAATTTTATTAAAACAAAATAATAGGAAAATCCAGCCCATTTTAATAATACTTGATGGAATAGATGGTGTAGGAAAAACTACTATAGTAGAAAATATAATTAGGAAAATTGAAGCCCAAAATCTCAAAATTATCTTTAATACTTTCAAAAGAAGAATAAATTATTTGAAACCCCAACTATTAAATATGAATGGATATTTCGAAAAGAGGTAGTTGAATAAATTAACAAGAAATTAGTAATATATACCAATAAAGATATAATTATAGTAGATAAATCTCCATACTGTGAATATTTTTATCAAAAGATGAGTAGTTTCAATAGAGGAACAATAAAACCTTTGGAAATTTTAAAATGGAACAAGAAATTTTCAAATACAAAGATATAATTGATAATGTGATAGTTATATTTTTAGAAAATGACACATGTTGAAAAGATTATATAGAAAGAGAGCTTAAAAAGAATGATGAAGGACATAAATCATCATATAATACACTCAAAGAAAATGAGTACATGGAAATGGTTAAGATGTTCAAACAACATTAAACAATATATGAGGATAAAAATATATATAAAGCAGTGAAAATTCACAATAATAATAAAAGTTGGAAAATTGCTTATAATGAAATTTTGAAAATAATAAAGAATGGAAGCTGACGAATATAATGAAATTGTTAAAAATATTCATGAAAACCCAAAATTCAAATTGAAAAGAATCCAACTATATAAAGTGAAAGATGGTAAATTACTTAAAGTAATACAAAAATATGAAGTCAAAGGATTACTATACATGATGCATAATCACAAATTATCAGCACATTTTGGAATAAAAGCAACCCAAAATAAAATACGAGAAAAGTATTGGTGGATTAAAATGATGAAAGATATTGAAAATTATGTTAAATTATATGATAGATTCCAAAGGAGGAATAAACCTCAAAAGAAAAATGAATTAAGCCCAATCAGCGTCAAAATCCCATTTTATCAAATAGGAATTAATTTTGTAGAACCATTGCCTGCTACATCAATACATAATTGTAGCAATGGATTATTTTACTAAATGGCCAGAAGCAAGAGTGACTAAAAGTAAGGAATACAGCTGAAGAAGTAGTTAAATTTCTTTATGAAGATATTATATGTAAACATGGTTGTTCACAAAAAATAATTAGTGATGATAGATGCAAACATTTTGACAATAAGATGGTAGAATTATTAACTAAAAAGTTTGAAATAAAACATAATTTATCAACAAGTTATTATTCCTAAACTAATGGACTAGTAGAAAGATTTAATAAACACTATGTGAATTATTAGCTAAATTACAAAAAGATAAACAATGGGATGATACCTTTAGTATCAGAAATAAAACCCATTCTTTTACAAAAACTAAACCATTTATTTAGTATATAGACAAAAAGCTAATTTCATTGGAAAAGAAACCCAAACTACATAAAGATTAGACAAAATTATAGAAGAACTACCTTTTCAAAGAAACATAGCAAAAGGAGAAATTTTAAGATCTCAGAAGGAATATTATGATGGCAAAGGAAAAGGAAAAGAAGAATTTAAAATAGGTGATGAAGTATTAAAATATAATGCAGCACAGCAAAATTCTAAATCAAACAAGTTAAATGATAAATGGTCAGAACTATACTTAATACATGAAATATTGTTAAATGAATTTTACAAATTGAAAGAATTAGATGGAAAGATATTAAGAAATCCCACAAATGGAGAATTATTAAAGAAATATTTTATGAGAAAACTTAAATAAATATTTTAATTAATTCGTATAATAAAAGCAAACATATAATTTGTTAAAGATAGAATATAAAATTTTATTAAATTTTAAAACTCCCAAAAGAAAGAGAGAAGAGTTATTGGAGTTTTTCAAAGCGAGATTTTCTTCTAAAAAAAAAAAAAAAAAAAAAAAATTTAGTAATTTAATATTAAAATATAATAAGAATAATAATATACCTTTGAGGTTAAGAAGTAATTGACCATAATTTAAATTGGAAGAATGAAGATTAGAGATGGTATCCTTGAATTTATCTTGTTCTTATTCAAGAGCTTTGACCTTCTCTTCCATCTCTTCAACCTGGTCTTGTAATTTCCAACCAGTATTTAGATATTGAAGGTTCTTTTCAAAGAGAGAATCATTTCGCTCTTTCATTTTAATTAGTTTCCATTGAGTCAAAGATAATTCACTTTAAAGAAATTCTACTTGCTCTGTTAAAAGAGAAAAAGAAAAAGAGAAGAGGAAATTCATACTATCAATTTCTAGTTAAAAACTAAGTGAATAAAATTGATAGTACAAAAGAGTACTACAGGGGAGTGCATTCAAGACTAATCCTAGAGGAGCATAGCGAACATCCCTATTTTATCACAATTTTGGCGATCATTTGACGATCATTTGTTGATCACTTTTCAACTTTATCACATCGCTATAATTAAATTGATTAGCTTAAATTGAACGATTCTACATAATAATATTGATCAATATATACTCAAAATTTACAAACAGCATTTGAATTTACAATATATTGAATTTTATTAGAATCGCACTATTATTAGGCAACTTTTACTAATAATAACTTTTAAAATGCCAATAATTAGCTTCAATCGGAAAATTTTACACAATAATACATGTTTAAATTTTACAAATAATTTTAGTATTGTTTTAATTTACTATGTATTAAATTTTATTAGAGTTGTATTACTATTGAATAATATCTATTAGTAATAACTTTTAATAAAAATAAATAAATCTATTATAAATTTAATAAATTAATATAAATTATCATAATCTGACCATTTTTGATATAAAATTTCAAATTGGTTATCTATATTTTGTTCTACATTTTCCATAATATCTTGTATATTTTCATCAATATCCTCATTTATATTGTTATTTGCATCTTTTTCAATTAAAGGCTTCTCATTATCTTTTAGTTGTGTATTTAATCTTTCTGTTAAACTATTAATATTTTTTTTTATTTCAGATGATAAATAATTAAAACAATGGTTACAATTACCATTATATAAAGTTAAACATTCTTTATGAAAGCCATGCCCACAAATTAAAATAACATTATTATTAGGTAAATCTATATTATTATTATTAGATAGCAAACATTTTTCTGCATCACAAAATTTATCCTTATCATCAGAAGGTTTGCTTTTTGTATTCCAAGCCAATGGAAGGGCCTTTATATCAACATTAATTTTAAAGGTTGGAAGTGCAAAACTTGGATACTTATTATTATTAATTTGATTTGTATTTCCTAAATTATGAAAAATTTCATCAAAAATAGAAATCAAAAACAAGGAAACTTTTTTTTCTAAGTAATTTAATCTAACTTGAGAAATAACTGGATTTCTTGAATTAACAAAAGCTTCTTTAAAAGAAAGGTTGCTATTTTTTTCAACATCAATAATTTTGGCCTTTTGAATAATTTGTAATGCTGTATTTGATTCAGCAGTTTGACTTCTAATAGAACTATGAAAATTTTCTACAAAATAATCATTAAAAATTGGCAAATGATTTTTTAAAATATTAGCCATTGGATGATTATTTAATTTCCAATAAAACACATCGCTTAAAAACATAAGTGTTGCTTTATTATAATTATGTCTTCTTAATCTTTGAAATAATACCCAAATTCTTACAACACCTTCTAAATATCCTTCAAAATATCCACTTCTAAAGAGTATTGTATATATATCTAAAGTAAGTGGTATAGAATTATCTAATAAATCAATCATCATTCTATATTCCATATCTTTAGAATTTCCAAAACGATGCATAACAACATTTCGAATCTTTTTCCAACCATTAAATGTTAAATCTAAAATAAGATTAATTACAGTTTGTTTTGGTTTATGAGATAATATTTTTTTTTCTCCAAATAAATCATGGTATAATTTTTCAAAAAAAAAATGATAGGTTTGAAACAAAGTTTCTCTACTATTTAATGAAATATGAAGTGGACCAATTATAGGAATTAAACTTAATATTTGTTCTGAAATACCAGATTTATTTCCTTTATTAATTCTTAATGTTATAGCTCTTCTTATATTTACTTGTCCTGGCCAATCAGCAACTACTGGAATAACATAATTATCTAAATAATTATATTCATTTTCTGACCTTTCAAATACTTTGAATAAAATATCTAAACATTCTATATAATCTTTAGTACTATGCAATGAATGTAAGATAAAATCTACTAATTTGCTATTATTTAATGATCTTAATTCTTGGTTATTTTGAATTCGACTATCATAATCATGAACATTAAGATTTTCAACTCTATTTTCATAAGAATCTTCAATTAAGAATTGTTTCTATAATTCATTTTGTTCATAATAACTTTTACCTATTTGCTTCATAAAAAAATCCTCAAAATTTTTAATAATTAATTTAAAGTCAATCCCTTTAGGATTATGTATTAAAATATTATTTGAACAATATGGTATTGCTGCTATATTAGAATTAGAATTTAATAAAATTGTAACAAAATGAAATATATTATGTGTTTCTAATAATGTTGGCTTATTACGACGATGAATATTATGATAATCATCAATATTTAAAATAAATATTTTTTCTATATTTTGCAAGCAGTAAATATCAACAGTTTGCTGATGCTCATTTGAAATAAGATTTTTTTGACGATCTACTGTCATTCTTCTTATTGAAAATCCTATATTTGCTAATGTATCAATAGATGATGATGATGCACCAGAAGTTTGTAAATATGATCCAATATCAGCTTTAATACTATTAATATATTTATTATTAATACTGGCCAAAAAATAACATAAAGAAACTAATTTTTTCTTGTTATTTTCATTTGTTTTATCAGATTTAGTATGGGGATTAGTACCAATATATAATTCATCAAAAAAACCAACCAAATCTTTATCAGCTGCTTCTAACATTATTTTAAAAGTTGTTGGTTCATAAATAGGCTTTTGATTTAATTTATGTTGATTATGATAAAGAATATTGGACATTTTTATTATCTTATCACTTAAACTAACTTCATTTGGAATTGTCATATGCTCTAAAATTTCTTGAAAATCCAATTCAAGTTGTTTTAATTCTTCTCCACTATAAAAAACATCATTTCTTAATATATAAGAATAATTACCAACTTGTAGAATTTTATCATCATTTTGTTTTTTTTTTGAAATAGGTGCTTTATATTCTTCAGTTTGTAAATATTCAGGATCCTTATCAGTTTTTTTCCTACACATGCTACAAATTTCTGCAAACTCATCTAATCCTAATACTTCAATTAACCTCTTTGGAACTTTTTCAAGATTAAGTTTTTTTGATTGTTTATTGCCTTTTGATTGTGTTTTATATAGTTCATGTTTTGGATGAGAACAAGATTTATTATATCCAAGATTATGAGTTTCATTAATGACATATCTATTATAATGAGTTTGACATAGTTTCATGCCAACTAAAACAATTTCTTTCATTGTTACTGGAATATCTATTTTTTCAGTAATTATTCTAATTCTTCCCTTGCAGTCAGTAGAATGAAATTTACAAACATTTAATATGTTTTCTGTTTCCATTTTTTAATTTAAATTTTTAAATGATTTATTTTTCAAAAATAAAGAGTTTTCTTACAAATCTTAAGCTATTTATAAAAAAAATTAAAAAAAATTAACAATAAATTTAGTTATATAATTTTATTTGTTATCAATATTCATAAAAAAAGTCCGAAAATTAATGTTTTCATATCCAAAGTTAACTACCCAGCCGAAAATAGGCTAAATTTTTAATAATTAGAAAAATTAAAAAATAATTGATGATGTTGCAACACCCAGTGATCAGAATTTAACGATTTATAGCTTGTTGGATTCATCTCATCAAGACGAACATTTTGATAGTAATTTCATAAATATTTATGCAAAATTGATTGAGAAATGATATTTTGAAAATTTCTATTTATTATATAAATTATAGTATTATAATTGCAAATACAATTTTATTCATAACTTTTGTGTTACCAAAAATTATACTTGGTTACTTCGGCCATTAATTTTAAAGCAGTTAAACTATGGGCTATAAAAGTTTCAAGTTTCGCCCGAACTTCTGTGGCTTCGCCCGAAGCCTTAAAGTCCGATATCACCTAATTTACTATATGATCGGCAAATGATCGACAAGGTGATATAAGCATGTTCGCTATGCTTCCTAGAGGTATAAAAACCCCATCTACAGGCCAAAAGATCAACCATTAAAGAACTAGAACATAAGTACTCTGTGATAAGGTATTTCAGCTTCTTTTTTTAATATATTTGAAAGGAAAATTTAATGTAACTTTGAGAAACCAGTAATAGTAGGTACAGAAACTATTTACTTTAAATTTTGTAGTTGCTTTTATATTATAATTTGAATAATAATCTCAAAGATGTTAATTGTTACAAGAATTTATATGTTAAAATACCACTTCATCTTAGTGAATCTGTTATTATTAGGGTTCAGCCAGATAATAGCATTATTTGATTGGTGGAAATTAACTTTCAAGTGTAAGATATGTTTTCTAGGAGTTGCTTCTTCATGTGTATGTATAGTTTCATTAATATCTTGAATTACGAATTGAATTGATTCATTATTTAAAATCTGCTAAATAAATTTTTTAGACAACATTTGAAGTAAGATCCGTGCATCTATTAAGGAGTAGTATATTGGCTTATTTATAGTTTTTAGCATTTTTAATATATTGGCTAGTGATTAATATGATGCATGATCTTGAATTTTAAGTTTAGCTATATTAAATACGAGTATATTTTCTTCTGTATCATAAGGATTATAAATCCTTTTGAATGTAGTGGCAGAAAATTTTCAATCTCTATTGAAATATCAATCAAAATTAAAATTTCAAATAATTAAGATATTGATAAATATTGAAAATATTGAAATTTCAAATAATTAAGATATTGATAAATATTGAAAATATTGAAATTAGTAACAAATGTTCATATGAATTATAAAATCCTTTTGAGTGTGAATGACAAGCAATCTATATTATGATATAAATCAAAATTCCAATGAACTTTACCAATGTTTATATTACTAATATTCATAAATTATCCAGTTCTATAATGTTTTTTAATTTTAAATATTCCAGTTCCATTTTAGTTCTTTTCTGAAGATTTTGCAGTGGATTTAAATTTTTTTGTATTCTTATTACTAAATTAATCCAGATTTTGTATCAATGTTGAGATTAAGTTGTTGATACATATTATAATATAATCACCATTCAAAGTATTCTCCAAATATTAAACTAAAAATTTTAGCTTGATAGTATAATATGGTGTGGTGAAAAATAAATCACTTATAAATATATATATATAAAACTATTTTTTTTTTTTGAAATTACAGATATAAATTCAGTCAAGATATAAGTCTTATATATTTTCTAATGATAACAAGCAGATTTTTTAAATAATTATTTATATAGAATTTTGAAATATTAAACCTAATTTTTGTAATTAGGTATTTTCATCTAAGCTTTGCTTATTAAATTTTAATATCCTATCACATTCAAACATCTGGTATCACTAAGTAAATCCTATCAATTATTATAATATTAGCAATTTTAGTTGTATAATTTAATTTTAAACCATAAAGTCTACTTATTTCTTAGCCCACTATGATTACTTAAAAAATGTACTTATGGAAAATTTGAAAAAGATAGTGACTATTGAATAAGAGCCATATGAAGTAATGAGAAGTACTTCTATGAGCGCAGTTGCCACTAGAGTATTGTATTGAGTGATGATTTCTACTTGTACTATTTTGTATTGTCTTCTGTTTTATAAAATAAAATTTTTTTAAAAGTATTTCAAAGTTTATATTTTTTTCTTTGAAATACTAGACCTAATTTTTGTTATTAGGTAGTATTGTTATTTTAATTAAATTAATCCATCATCTGGAATTTTTTTATCAAGTTTAATAGTTGATATTTGCAATTAAAGTTATTAATAATATAATAATATAAGTCTAAAAAAATCTGTTTTCTAAAAAGTTATGATGATTTCATTTCTAGTAAAAATAAATTACTTATAAATATATAGTTTATTTTAAAATTGCAGTTTTTTGAACTTTTTGAAATTAGACTTCCAATAATAGTAATCAAAGAGAAAAGGTCAAAAGTTATGAATTATCATTTTTAATTTCTATCCATTCTTTTTTAATCAATATTTTTTAAAAAATAATTATTTTACTGATTTAATATAATTTTGTAATACTAAACCTAAATTATGTAATTAGGTTTATTTTATCTAGCCTTGCTCATTAAATTTTAATATCTTATCATCTAGTATTACTAGGTAAATTCTTATAATTTTAAGTTTTAAACCATAATAAAATTTTTTATTATATAGCCCTCTATAGTTTTTTATAAAATGTATTTTATTGTTCATGTGCCTTTAGAATAAGAGTCATAAGAATCAGGATTGTGGTTTAAACCATAATTCTTAGCCCAAAAGTTAAACCATCATAGTACTTTGTTGGGGATAGTGCATAGTCAGCATCTTGGATGACGTGCCATGGTGAATAACATGATTTTTGTTCATTCTTTGTTGATGAGTGACAAAGGTTTTGAAAAAAAGGTCCCTCCCTCTCATAAATGTTTTTATTATACAGTATGTGTTTCTTTAGAAAGGAATCGGCAGTTGTTATAAGGTATTGAAAGCATTAAGTAGTGGTTTTTATTTTAACTATTTTGTATTGCCTTCTGTTTTATATAAGTAAAGTTTTTTCAAAGTATTTCAAACTAATATAATTTTAAACTTTGAAATACTAACCCTAATTTTTGTAATTAATTAGCATTATTTTAAGATTTACCAAATTTTTATTAACTTAACCTGATTAAATATTTTGTCTGTTGAAATGCTATATTGTTTAATAATAAATATATTTATATTTACTAATTAATGATAAAATAATTTTTTTTTATAATATATTGTTTTTCTAATTAAGGTAATCCATTATTTGTTAAATATATAAGACATCTGTTTATCAGTTGGTTTCTTACAAAGAATCATCAATTGACAACAGTTGTTAACTTCCTCTTTAATTTAATCAAAAACATGTTTCTTTTTGTTGTATGCATTAAACCAAACCCCACGACACTTCTCTCTAAACACATATTGTGCTCTAGAAGACTGCACACTCCTTCTTCAAGTCCATCAATCGTTTCAGTTTGCCTAATAATTAATGCTTGGGCATTCCACAATTTCCTTTGTTCTACAGCCCAAAATCATAATGTGCTTGAACTTGAAGCTTGTTTAAGAATCCCAAATTCATTTAAGTTCACAATTTCTTCTCAAAGATCTTTATTCTCCTTTTTAACCTTCATAAGATCCTCTATTGAAAAATAAAAATGGTCATTTTTACAGACTGGTTTTAACAGTGCCATTATTCTTATTTCTTTATATTCTTTCACTGAACTTAGAACATTGATTGAGTTTATTTCTGAAATCAGTTAAGAATTTACGAGTTCTTTTTAAATAGCCTTTAGCTTTACTAGTATAAATTTTTACTCACAAAATTTTTGCAATTAAATCGTCAAGAGCTTTACTACACAGATGATTTGATTGTATTCATAATTAAAAATATAAGAGACAATATAATATGAGTTACTGTCATCTGTATGGGCTAAATTAATCCAGATTTCAAAGTTAATGGCTGATTTCATGCCACTTATAAAAAAACAAACACTTAATTCTTCAAAACAATCAAGAAGATGTCAATCATAACCAGCTACTTCTAATAATCTGTAAATATATGGTGTTCACTAAAGCATTAGATCCATATTAGATAATGATATTAAAGGGTAAAATTGTGAAATTAATAATTTTGCCTAAAAAATTTGTATCTAAAAAATTTAGTTTAAAAAATATAATATGGCGGTGATTTCACTTCTAGTAAGAAATAAATTACTCATGAATATATAAATAATATAATGTGCCCTTTTTCATCTGTTTACACACCTTATCAGATAGGATAATTTCACATCCAAGATCCATGCGTTAAACCTCACACATTAACAGTAGCAATGTTAAGATAGGGATATTCTTTAGTTTTTTGTTTAAAATCTGCCTTTTTCTTTTCGGTAGCCTTCAAGTAGTAAAATAAATATTTTGTTTTTAAATTGCAGATATAAACAATAACTTGGTAAAATAATATTTCAAAATTATTTAATGTGAAACTTTGAAATACTAAACTTAATTTTTGTAATTAGGTTTATTCTGTCTAGTCTTGCTTATTAAACTTTAATATATTATGATCATATTTAAGCATCTGGCATTACTAGAAAAATCCTATCAATTGTAATATTTAAACCACAATAAGTCATAATAATTATATTTCTCTTTTAGCTCATTTACAAGTTCTTTATATAAAATATATTGTACCTAGTTATAGGAATAAGAAAGTAATGAGAAGTACTTCCATAATCAGCTGTAGTGTTGTTGGAGAAATTGTCATAGTATATAAAGAACATTGAGTGGTGTTTCACTTTTTCTATCTTCTTTTTCATTATATAAAATAAAGTTTCTTTAAAGTATTTCAAAATTGATATTATTTTAAATTTTGAAATACTAAACCTGATTTTTGTAATTAGGTTTATTGCTTATTACTTAGTCCTTCTATAGGTTCTTTGAACAAGTGATCTAAAAGTGCTTTATAATCAGTATAAAAAAAAAGAAGAGGTGATAAATTGAATGAAAGTGTGAATTGTATGTGGTAATAGTTTTTGATTGCAAAATTGGTAGTCAATTTTTTGATATAAGTAATGCTGGCATGTTGTCTGTTGCATGATATTTAGCTAGATCATCAATTAAGCCATGTGCTTTTATAGTCTAAATAGCTTGTAGTTTCATTCTGATTTTGTCTTTTAGTCTATAATTAAAGTCTCCTATTATGATTCCTAGAGTGCTACCACAATAGTTTAGAGTATTCTTTCTATCATTTGTTTTTAATTCATAGAAATCTTTGTGAATTGGCAAAAAGGTAGCAACACATGATATTTAGATGTTTATTTTTCTTGAATCCTAATATGATGTTGAGTAAATAACCAACAGCCATAGGTATTAAGAAATTAGGAATTAATAAGGAGTATTTCCATAATCCATAATCCAGTCCTGCTATAGTTACTTCCTAGTTTATTAGACATTTTTTGAGATCTCATTTTTATCTCTGATAGTGTATAGAAGGCATTGAGTTTTTTAGTTAAGTATGCCTCCCCTGGTATATTAATAATATTCTTATCATTCTTATCCATACAATAAAATAAAAAATAAAAAATGTATTAAAGAAAAAAATATATATTTAATAAGTGGTAATTTGGTTGATATTTTTTTATCATAAATGTGAAAGAAATGGAAGTAGTTTTTAATTTTACTATTTATATAATTTTCTATTTTCAAAGTATTTAATTCAAACCTTTTAAAATACTTAACCTAATTTTTGTAGTTAGGTAGTATTATTCTTTTAATATTTAAATCACCCACTTCACAACTTTTTATTTTTTTTAAACAGTTTATCTTTTCTCCTACAGATTTTTGTATTAGTGTATAATTCATTATTATTAAATATTACAAGAAGACTTATAATATTTATTAGGTATATAAGAAGACTTCTAATATTTAGACAAAAGTATTATGTACCATCAACACCTAATTTGGTTGACTTATATATCTATTACTTATATTTATATTGTTCAACAGTAGGTATTTCTTCTATTAATCTTTGAATTTTTTTATGATAATATTTTGTACTGAAAGATGTTGTTGAAGATTTTTTAAATGTTCAAAAGTGATTGTAACCAATTTATTTCTAATTCATTATATTTTGAATTTTTGTTTAAATTTAAAAAATTTTCAAAGTTACAAACAATAATAGTGATAGGACCCATAAATTTGTTCCTTCTGGTTTAACTTTTAAAATAAATATTTTTGTTTAATTGAAATACAATAAATATATTTGTATTGGAATAGTTGTTTAAATTCTTTTAATTCTTTGTATGAACACTATTTGTCCTAACTCCATTGGCTATAAGTTAAGGGATGCCTTATTTTCTGGATATGAATTGAACAATTTAAATACTATATTGTTGCAAAGTAGCAGAGTGATAGTCCATAGTTGAAAAGTTATTTCAATTATCAATTTACAAAATCCTCATCAGGATTCCAAAAAGATATAAAAGAGATATAAAAATATTATTCTAATGATCATGGTACTTCAAATCTATATTAAAACAGATAAACTCTATAATAACAAGTGGTTGTATATCCTATATTTAAATCCATAACTAAAAATTAATAAAAAACTAGACTATTTTGAAATTAGTATACTAGTCATAATGGTTAGAACTTAATGGTTAAGACGTTAAGTGACCAATACATATTAATGAGATGTTTAATAGCTAATATTAAGTTTCAGTCAAATTCATTTTTTTCACTCAGAATTTTCCTACTAAACATTTTTACTATAAACACATTTAGCCCATTGAGTGTTTGGTATTTTTTATTTTTTTTCTAACATTTGAAATAAATAATTTGCCCTCTAACTGGTACTTTATATTGGGCAATACTGCTATAATAAATTCATGAATGCATGCTGACAGTTCAAATATGTATATCCTTTTCATCAATATGTTCTCTACAAAATCAGTTTGTTTTTTATAAGATAAAAAGCTAAATTTATATGATTTCAACAATTAAACTTTATTATTCTAATATATTTATAATAATTTATTTGAACTGCATTGGATGTATACAGTAAATTATATATTTTATTAGAATAAGATTAAAACAAATGTATTGTTAAGAACATTTGTAAATATAAGTAAAAAAAAGCAAAAAGAATATATAGATAAGTGATGAATATTAACAAGTATTGGAATATAGATGGTTCATATTGGAGATGGTAAGGATAGCATTGTAATAGGAAGTATAATGTTTTTGCTAATAATCTTTTCTTAGATATGAAAGATTATATAATCATATAGTATAAATGTCAGGTAAGAATGATGAGTATTAATTCTGTTCATTCTGATCTTGGATTGTCCTTTATGTATTCTCCTAGTTATTATCATTTATTCATTTGTATGTCTATAATTGTTTTGTTGTTTATTGATAGATTTAGATTTGTAATGTCAGTTTATGATTTTTCTCTTTGTATTATTGAAATACTAGAATCAACAATTTTATTTCCACTTCTGGAAGGTATCGTTAACTCCTTGGTAATTCTATTTAAATCTTTAATAGTAGATAAATTTTTGCCGTTCCATGAGGTTTTAAAAGCTTCTCTAATAGCAGTTTTTAACTGCCATCCACTCAAAGATTTATAGATCATTGATAATCAAATCATTAGTTTATTATTATTAAAAGCATTATGCAGCCACATGACAATATTGCATATAATGATTAATAAATTATTACAGGATTGGTCCTTAGTAAAAATTTTCTGAGTTTATTGCCTATGAAATATTAAGTAATATAATTGTAAAAAAAATATTCTAAGCAGAAAAAAGGAAAAGGAGGGAAAAGATGATCAGATTAATAAATTTTGAATCTATTTATTTATTTTTTAAATCAGAATTTTACCACATGATAATATCAAAGCCTAAATCACAGCCACACAACTTCAACCCACCACTTAGCAGAAATGTGTATGATATCATATGTCAAATCAAAAATCTACAAGTTTATTAAAATTATATAATAATGTAGTAATATATTTAATATATTATAAATATATACATATATTATTTTTTTTTTATATAATAAATGATTTGTATTATACATTCAGTTAATTAGAATGGACATAAACTGATTGCTGGTTACAAGAAAAGTTCAAGTTTTATAGTAATTATTAAAATAAGTTCCAATAATAATAAAGGTTTTATGATGAATAACTAAATAAATAATTTGTACTTTTACTAATATATTTTCAATTATTAGAGTTTGGCTGAAATCATCTAAATATCGCAAACCAGAATTAAAATAATTATTACTGATATTAAAGCCACATAAGCAATAAACTTCAAAAGAAAAGAAAAAATTATATAACCAACTGGCAGTAAATGTCACAGATGTTATATAATAATCAAATTTGATGGTTTTTCACAATAACCTTTTAATTTACTTTGTTCTAAATTAAATATCATGACAAACCTCAAAAGCCTCTTATTTTACTATATTAATTCTTGTTGAAAATCAGGAATAAGATATTTATTGTTGATGATAAATTAAAAATAATTAAAAGGCTTTTCAAAACTAAGCCTTAAAACAATTTGTTCAACTTTGGGCATAACTAAGCCATAGGAATAAGCCTGCATATTTTATATAATATCTTATTATTGATTTTATTCTAAATTTATTATAAGCCTTTACTTACATATCTGCTTACATAATAATAAGAAACTTCTTACGTATTGTTTTGTTCTATCACATGATTTATTAGAACAAAGTGGATAAAGCTTATAATCTTTATTTAACGAGGGTGCTGTTAAAGTTATAATACGATTGCGCCACGGCTACAAAATTAATTATGGCTTTATATCACGTGCCGTAATGCCATAAGTTTTTTTTTACGGTTATGACATTTTGATATATACCCAATGTTATAATTTTGTCAGCATCTAAAAATTGTGAAGATTAAAGTTATAAAAATAGATATAAATCATGATAAATTTTTAATGTACCGAAATTTTTTTTTGAAATAACAAGGTTATATATGAATTTAAATTTATTTTGTAACCGATAATTTATTTTTCGGAATTCTTTGCTATTATTCCTATTCTCCGTGGAATAAATAATACTAAATTAAATTTTAATGAATTTGGATTTTTTAGTGATAGTAAGAAAGCAATTAATATATTATCCTATAAATGGATATCAGAAATTGTGTTCTTTTGACTATTTTCTATTTTCCATTTTTCATTTTTTATTTCTATTTTCTATTTTAATATATTCCTATTTATTCTAGAAAATTCATAATTTCAAGGACGCTCAATCACAATTTTTGGTGAAATGAATAATTAGCAATACGTGTACTAAATAGTAACATATTATCGAATAAATACTTCTAATTTTTTAAAACTTTCAAAATATACTAAATCAAAATTTTGTTCCATCCAGTTTGCTTTAATTTCAATTAAAAAGGATTGAATATACCCTATAAAAAAAATTCTGGAAAAAGCTCGTCATTTTTCTAGTTAGAAACTCAGACATGTGATCATTTTTCTGAAAAATTTTTTATAGAGATAGGTATTCTTAATTCATTAGCGGCAATCAGTAATTCAATTATATCTAATGGATCAATTTTTATTAAAGATTCCGCCATAAATATATCTAATAAATAAAAATACAATATTTTGAGATTGAAAATGTAATGATAAAAATAAATTATTAATACATTGATTCAATTAGCTTTTCCTTAAAATTATTTCTGATAAAATATTAGATAGTTCAGTACGTGCCAAAGTTCCATCATTATTTTTTATATTAGTCGATAACTTTCTTCGCAGATAAGGAGAACAGTAATTTAAAAAGACCGGCTTTAATTTTTATATCGTAATATTCGTCATCATCCAAAATTCTGTGAATTGTCAATAATGTTCGTTTATGCATTTTCAATGATTGTTGAACCATCATTACACTTTTGCAAAATGAATTGTTGATGCTTAGTACCACGCTTTTCCCACATGATGATGTTAGTAAGATTATCTTTTTTTACCCCTATAAAAACGCAGGTTTAAAAAAAAATTATTGAAACATCAAGAACAAAATTTCGATTAAATTTCAAAGTAGACAGAATTGTCCTCATAGCTGTATTCCCATTTTTGACCGCGAGAAGGTTCAGTATGCGTACCTTTGTGAAAATTAAAATAATTTAATTTGTGGAATTAGAGTCAATAAAAATGATATTTTACTAAATGACTCACCATAATTCGAATTTTCCTTGATTATTAAAGAAAAAATTACTTTAATTTAGAAATTAGTAGATTTTGATTTCAATAATTAAGCTATATTATTCTTACCTCCAAGCGACATACAGTATTTAACAAGCAATAATCACATTACATTATATTTATATCAGAAAATTATGTAACACTTTACGGTGTCGTATTTCTTAGTATGTTGGATAATTTCGACAAAACTACAAAACGAGCTTCAAGAACTTTACCGGGATGTTTAATAATAATTAGTCATTTTCAGAATAAATTCAGCAGATATAAAGTTGAATATCAAAATTTTTGTACACCGGCAAAACGGAAATTCATTTAGCCAAATTGCACAAATCACACGCCAATAATGACTTGCCATAGTTGCGCACAGGAATAATGTTTTTTTTTCTTCTAACGGGTGACGAGAAATATTAAAGATTTTATTTGTGGCGCTACCTATAATCTTGTAAGTTCGTAACAAAAGTCATACTTTTAACTACTATTCTTTTATTCAAAATAACCGTTTAAATTAATCTTACATGAAAATGAGAAATATTGAATTCAAACTGGTTTTTATCCGATCAGTTAATTTGATTCACCCATTTAAATTCGATAAAATATGCACTATATTGAACTTTAAAGCTGAAATTGCATGATATTGCCGGTTGGTATTATTTAAAAATTGAATTTACTCTATATAATTGTATTAAATAAGAAAAATAATTTTTCATATTTTAAAAAAAATTAAACATTTTAAATTTCGAGAACAGAGAATTTTATCATCCTTTATATATCTATTTTTTTATAATTAGTTAAAAACTTTTCCTTCAGCGACGTGTACCGATCGCAAAGTTAATACTTTTATTAAAATATTATTCATATGCTGGTAAATAATTTGTTTTAAAAGGTACAAACAAAAAAAAGAAAAAAATATTAAAACTATTCATTTTTATCAATCACAGGACATAGGCTGCCTATAGGAAATATTTTGCTTGTTTTGAATAGTGGATACTTTTGGAATGTCAGTTTCTTCTAAAATACCTTTCTTTACTAATTTCGTAAGTTCATATCACATTTCCTGCCTTCTATATCTATTTCTCTTATTAATTTGCAAAAATAATTCCCCGAAATGTATTAGTAGAATTCACTGGTTTGGAGACGGATCACGAATTAACTTTAACAAATTCATCGGCAATTAAAGGATTTTCAAGGCCAAGTTTATCAATTAAATCTTGAATTTCCTCTAATTTTTTCATGTTAAATCAGAAGAACTTCACTGAGATCCATATAATAATCATATTTTTATGCAAATATCTGCTTTTGACCAGCAATTTTCGCACGTGCGATATATTTAATGCACTTTTTGACGTTTGATAATTTTATTTTGAACATGAAAGAAAACAAATTTTCATTTCGTATTTCTTATCAATAAAAAGTCCTTTCAAAATATAAAAGATTATACTTTTTGAAAGTCGGATACCAACTATATTATGAATTTAGGAGCATTAATGAATAAAATTCCTTTGGGTGATACTTTATGTTTGATAATAAAATTGCAAAATTATAAACTTATATATATAAACTTGTCAATTCATTAAATTCAAGCGCATAAAGCCTGAAAAAAGATATATCGTCAAAAAACAAACGCTCATTTTCTGAATCCAATTCAAATTCTTTCAATAATTCAGAAGACACAATTAAATTTAATTCAAATCCCATACTAATCCTTTAAAATGGACAAATTACTTTTAATAACTCGTATGCAAAATATACAAAATAACCCGTTGCAGAAATATTATTATCGAAACTTTTCGCCGATATCCATTTCGTCGAAGAGATGTTTCGCCAAAGGGATATGTTTCACGGGACCCAGAAATATATAAAAGGGTCATTAGAGTTTGCATAAAAAATCATGAAAATCTTTCCTTTTTTAGATAATTTTTGATAATGCAAGTCAGAATATATTTCCTATTATAGTAACTGGCTGACATTATCATAATTCCGGCCCTGAAAAAATGCGTACAGCTCATAGTAAAAAATTTTTTCACTTGACCCCCTATATATATATTTTTGGGTCCTCATTTCACCAAATTCCGTTTCGCTGAAGCCATTTTAATGTATGGTCATTTCGCCAAAAATTTTATTTATTCCATTTTGTTACTGTATTTTATTGTTTTTATATTAAATACACTCATAAAAAATTCTTTATTGAGAAAAAATTTTGAATTAATTGATTTTTACACGCCAAACATGCTTAACTTACTTCAGACGGAAATAAAATGTAGCTTTCGTCACACGAAATAAACAGACACTCCCCATTATGCAACTCATGTAGTACCTCCTTTAACTATACAAGATAAAAAAGAAAAAAATACAACACATAATAGTCCTCTTTACATGCCAAACACTCTTGATCTCAATTTCTTCAATAAAGAATTTAACATTGCTTTACTATAACCATGTAGACGTAAAGCATGAATTCTTTATCAATTATATCTCCGTAGGATATTGTATCAGCAGCTTTTGCGAAAGACCCAGAGATGCGAATTTTTGGAGCTTATCACTTGGGTTTTTGAGCATTGATATCATTGATACGTATGTATAGAATCTATAAGAGAAGTGTCGGTAGGAAGGTTATTTGTTTCAGAAGGGGAGGTTGTATCAACCAAAGAGTTAGGGTTTCATATCAGTAGGAAGAGGTATCATCAATATCATAGAGTGGACTCTACATCAAACTTGAAAAGTATATGGAAAATTCTACCAAAGTAGGACTTTATGAGTTAGTAAAATTAAACAAAATTAAAAGCAATTTGTACCTAACTTCTAACCAATTAAAGGAGTTTGGTCAACTTTAAAAGATATATTTGCTAGAATTGGCTCTTATCCTGCCGCTATTAGAGTCGTGTGCTTTTAAGGAAATGGTTACTTCTAAGGTTATAGGTATACTTTGGAAAAGATGATTTGGTAATGTGGAAGCACATTATGAAGATTTTGACATTGAAGATAAACTTTTTATATGAAGTTATAAATTTTAATAAAATTCACATTAAAACGTAATTAACTGGAAGCCTTAAAAAGAATTATTAATGAATAAAGAAAATTCAGCCTAAACTACTATTTTTGCATGATTACATACAAATATTCTAGGTGTATTAAAAATTTATTTAAGATTTTTTGATCTAATATTTGAAAACATCAAGTAGTGGTACTACTTACTAACCAAAAAATTTTTGGTAACATGACATGACGAATTTTATGTTCAGATTCCATTTATCAAAAAAATTTCACATTTAAAAAATGCAAAGAAGCGTTTATTTAAATATTTCTCATAATTCTTTTTTATTTATAAAATTTGTTGGCTTTTTTTAGTAAAATAGTAGCAGTGACCCATAGTTTCACATTAGAACTAATGTTTTTTGATCAATATAGATTATGTGCATAAAAATGATAAAATATATTATATAAATAAGCGATTATTTTAGAGAAAATGGTAATTATGTGCTAAAATGTTTTTTTATTTTCAATTGAAAACAGTAGTAATATAACTTATTATATAAATAGCTTATGCTATTATTTAATGCAAAAAAAACGTATAACAACGTAATATATTATGTAATTATTTCCATGTAACCAATATTTTTGTCATATCAATCTATGCTAATTCAGTTATTTAAATTCATCATTTTTTTTTTTCTTTTTTGAACTTTATATATGCTTGTAAAAATATCATCCCATTTTGTATTTCATTACTTTTTCCAGATGGGTCATCTCTCCCGAGGTTCTGAAAAATATAAAATATTTTCAAAATAAAAACTGATCACGGTTCTAAAAAAATTGTAAAATTTTTATGTTATTATTTATAATTTATTTAGTATTGTCATAAATATTAATAACAATATATAATAGTAATTTATAAATAATTGCATTCCTTAACTTACCCTTCCCAAAAAATTATTTAAAAACAAGCTTCGTTTCGCTACCATAATTCCGAATTCGATAATGGAACAATTCATTAATATACAAACATCATAATCTTATAGAAATACAAAATTGAAAATTAATAATTCCCTGTAAAAAAAATCAATCCGTTTTTTATATTCCATCTTTTTTATGTAAAAGGCTCATATTTCCGGAATTAATAACTTTATATCACGGAATTTATCGAATTATTTACATTTTCCGTGAATGGATCCGTGAAAGGCTCATTTTTACGGAGTTTTTACAGAAATAATGGATAAAATTTTTTACAGGGATTTCTTAATTCAACTTAACGATAATCATAAATTAAGACAATTAACAAAATTATGACTTCATCAAATTAGAGAAATTACCAAAAAAGTATCAATGTTCGTATTTATTAAGAATGTGTCAATTATGTACCATTAATAAAAATTGCCTACCAGATATAAAAGGTGGAATTACAAAAGTTAAGATTCATATCAAAAATATTTGAATAATTAAGGAAAAATTCAATTTCAGAGGGACGAAATTAACCAACAAAATTATAATGATATATGCTTTAAAAAAGGTATGATTTAGAAATAGTGAAGATTAACTACTTCAAATGTTACCACTTCAACAAAAACTCAAATACTTCTATATCAAAGGTTGTCATAATAATTATGTCACATTAGAACGTAATGGTCATGTGGATTAATTTTATCATTAACAATATTACACATTAATTAATACTTATAGAAAAATTGTATGAAAGAAATTGTCATTATTAACATTAATAATTATTAGTAATAAAAAGGAACCATATTATAATTATCCTAATGAAATGTATTCATTAAAAAGAAAATAATATGAAAAAAGAAAAGTGGGGAAATTTTTTTTACAAACAAAAGGTTCAACGATCTGCTGTGGTCGGTCTGAAACAGATCAAAATTACATTAACCAGAATCGGTTAGCGTCCTATCGAAATGTGCAGCTTTTGACAATAAATAGATCAGGCGCAGGCATGTCACAGGGTTTAATATTATGGCACGGGTTTTTACGTTACACAATTCTAGTTATTTCCGAATAAATAATTAATATTTGATAATAAAAAGTCTTTCAAAAACTTGATAGTTTTACTCAAGTTTGTAAAAAAATATCTTTCAATATTATTTAATAAAGTAGAATACAATTAATTTAAAATATAGTGTAGAATATAAATAATAATAAGAATAATAATCTCCAAGACAAGATTACAGAAAAAAACACACGTATCGATATATTTACTATTTTAGATTATTAATACAAAGTCATATTGCCAAAAATTATTGGTGGTGTTCTTTAGAGTAGTTGTTTTCTAATATACCAAAACATGTTCAATAATTGAAAACAAGTTCCATATAAAAAGATATATATAAGCCAGTAAAGCCACTTTTAAGCCCCATCCTTATTTAATCATCAGGTAAGCAAATAAATTTATGCTATATATCAAATTTACACCCTTCATTATTATCTCAATATTGAGTCTAAATAGAGAATAATACTAGTAATGTGAAATTCAGAAATTTTATTAGATCATGAAAAATTCTAATACATTGTTAACCAAAATGATTTGTGAGTTGTAAAAGCTTATTGAATAATCTTGGATATTTAAGAATAGAATGGAAAAAAAGATTTCCACAATGTTCATGCATTTAACATGTAAGCCACTTATAAGCCCCTAGTTATTGTTCATAACCTGATTAATAATCATATTAAAAATGAATAATATATTAAGCCACTTAAAAGCCCTTGTCTAATGTTTTACAGCCTATCATTGAATTATTAAATAAAAACCTTGTGTTTATTAATTCAGCTGAAGTGTAAATGTTTAGGCTTTTTAAAGTATAACAAAGAGATACTGATTCTTATTATAAAATGCTATTGAAAATATTTTGAAAGACCTGATAAATGAGTTTGATATTTTAACTTACCCTGAATATTTCCATAAATATAAAAAATTATTTCACAATCAAATAGAAACTAATTACATTGAAAAGACAAAATGGATCAAATTATAATAAAGAGAAAAAAGGAAATTTTAGTTAGATTTCAATATTTAACTATTAAAAATGTAGAACCATTTTTCTATCAACAGCTGTTATTTAATAAACCTTCCAGAAATAAAATACACTCATTTATCACTCTCCTCTTTTAACAGTTTCCAATTTTTTTAAAAAAAAATATAAAAAATACACACCCTTTATTTTTGAATAAAAAATTAAACCCAAAAATTTTATTTTTTAAAAATTACATGAAAAACAAAAATGTCTTACAAAGAAAATACACACTATTGGTCATTTTCTTTTGAGCCCTGATAAAGTAATTCAGTGCTTTTTGGAAAATTTTATATGCCCATATCCTGAAACAAATGGTTTTCCATTCAAATTACATAACAATTATCCTATACCAAACTTTGTGGAAGAGATAAAAAATTTATACATCATATAGAATCACTAATTAAAGAAAACAAATAAATAAATTAATCAGAAATCAATAATCTATTAAATATTTTCAAAAAATTTGAACATTTAGTAATTCACGAAGGTCATCTTTCCAATAATACACTTACAAACAAAACTAAAATTAAAAATTGATGACAATAATTCAATAAGACAGAATTTTTAATTTTGTCAACTATAAATGATTACTGCCACAAATTCAAACAACAACTTGGACCTAATCAAGATTAACTAATGATATATCATCCAATCTGACCAACTCAACATCGAATGAATAAGGATCATCTAACTCAAAAATAAAGATCTAATGGATATAGATTATGAATTTATTATTATCAATGATGTGATTTAACAACAAATCAATAATAAAGTATCATATGATAAAGAATTATCCAATTACAATCAAATGAACAAGGATTAAATGATCAAACAACTCAACCAATGAATTTAAATAATGAATCATTTAAAGAGAATGACATTCTCATGGACTCAATTAAATCCATTGAAAAACTACTTAGTAAACTATCATGTAATTTAACAAATATAACTAATAATAATATTAACAATAATGTAATTCAAGATAATAATACAGGTTTAACTGGTAATATTAGCTGATTAATAATTGAATCAAATAATAACCCAAAACCAATTAAAACCAATAATATAACATAACCAATCAATGAATCTAATCAATCAAGAGTTAATCATTATAAATCCAACCAATCAAAAAAGAAACATTGACCAATTATAGAAAACAATAAATCAGATGAAACCAATAGGCAATAGTAATCAAAGACAGAGAAATAATCAAAAAACCAAATGAAACCATTAATAAAAAATTAAAGGCAAATAACTCCAAGCCAAATATAATAGGATCAAATTCCAACAATCCTATTATTATTAATGAGACAAAGATAATAATGATGTAAACTCCAACAAATAAAACTCATGAAGAAAAACAAAAAACAAAAGAAATTACAAAATTAAACCATAATCTAATGAAATTTCTGATCATCACTCCACTTACTGATCTACATTTCAACACTATGTATGGTATTCCAATATACAATGCAAATACCTCTATATGGAATTGTTGAAGCCCATGTGGTAATACTACATAATACTCTATCTTTATTTAGTATTTCACCATACATATTAGAAAATTTAGACAATTTTAGCTGTATTTAAATTATTTCTTAATTGTAGCACTAATTCTATAATAGCAGTATTAATGCAACCAATTTGTCACATTCCTTATATTTAAAAAATTACAAATATTTAATTGACAATTTATTAATATCAATGCAATAAACATAAAAGATATTATTGGCAAACAGCTCTATAATTTAATTTCAAACCCTATAATTATATCAAGTAATGAAGTATTAAACACTCCACAAAATCAATATAAAGTATAATATTATAATTTCATTTTGAAGATAAAAGCATTCATTTTTCTTTATTACTGGCTCAACTGGTACGGAAAGAACTTATTTAATAAAGTAAATAATCAATTACCTTAAAAGCACCAATAAAAAATTTTATTAATGGCTCCAACTGGTGTAGTAGCAGAAAATGTTAGTAGTGAAACAATTCACTTTAAATTAAAAATCAATGGTAATATTTACAAATTACAAACTCTTTCTTTATATGATAAAACATTTAAATGGTGAATTAAGAAAATATAATATATTATAATTGATAAAATATCAATGGTTTCTTCCCAACTCCTTACATTTATAAGTAAAATATTTTGTAAGCTTCATAATAATTCACTTGAATTTGGTGATATACCTGTTTTTGTAATAGTAGGTAATCTAACTCAACTTCCACCTGTGAAAGGAGATCCAGTATTTTACTCTCCATTATGGAAAGTATTTTTCCATTATTCTTAGAAAAGCACATCATCAACAGAAAGATGAGGAATTTTTTCAAATCCTTCAAAAAATTAGAATAGGAATATTAAGTGAGCAAACAATTCAAGCAATTAAATTGAAAGTTTAGACATATCAAGAGCAAAATAATATAACTTTAGATACAACTTACATTGTATCACACAGAAAGATAGCTCAAACTATAACTTCCATAATATCAACAAAATTACCATCATTTAATTTAAATGAAGAATCATTTACTTCAATTTCAGTTGATTTTGTGAATAATGAATAATGGAATAGATTTCAATCAGAAAAGCATTTATTCATCATACAAACTATTCTGTTAAACTAGTATTGTTAGTAGATATAAGAGTTATGTTTTAATAATACTCAATTAAACATGGACTATATAATGGTTCAATAGGTGTAATTATAAAAATATGCAATCAAGAATGTGACTATTCAAAAAGTTACAGCATTTTTTACATTTAATGGTATACCAGCAAAAAGAACTCAATTTTCATTGCAAAATGTCTGTTCATAAACCCAAAGTATTACATTAATCTACAGTACACTTTCTTTAGATGAGTCAATTTTTGCCTGTAGGCAAGCTTATATTGCAATAAGCAGATCTCTATTATGGGATAAACTTGGTATAACTCCATTTAATGTAAATTCCATTAATAAGTATTAGAAGAATATTGGAGATTACAAGAAATATATGATAAAAATATTAGAGCATTCTTTGCTTGAATATTTTTAACTGTATATTATATTATAAACTTTGTAAATAGCTTAAAGGAAAAATTAATATCAATTTTTTTTTATTTTCACTGAAAACTTTGTTTTTAAATTTAGAATCTAAGATATTAAAACAAAACTTTATATAAATTTAATAATTTTTACTAAATCTTGCATCAGCATTTACACTAACCCAACTCCCCTCTAAATATGAACTCTTACTGATAAAAAAATTTTAGACACAAAAAAAGCTTTTTTTTTATTATATAATGAAAAATAATAATTCACATATTAAAATCATATTTTTATAAATTATAATAACGCATTTTTTTTGTTAAAAAAAAATTTTTAATTTAATAATTTTCATATGATGATAAAGAAAATTTAGGAAAGGTATTTCTTTTTTTAGTTAGAAATTATTTTTGTTTTAAAAAAAATCATCACATTCCAGATTTATATAGATTGACATTTTAATTTCTAAATTTATTTTTTTTTTTCACATAAACATTATAATGGTTTTAATTACATGCAGAATAGGAAACTCTTTTTTACAAATTGTTAAAATCGCTTAAAATTTGCAGTAAATATCTTGCAATTTATAGAAATGTCTAGAAACGCTAAATGAGGTGGTAGAGGTGGTAGACAAACATGTAGCTCAAGCCATAATTTCCAAGCTGGTGGAAGTAGGCCAACTAGTCCTGAAAATCAGCTTACCTTCAGTACACCGAAGGATACTAATGCTCCTCATGAGGGTATTTGGAAAACCTATCAGAAAAAGCTGCAACTAACTTCTAATAAAAAAATGACAGAAGCTCTGGAAGCAGAACATGCTATGGACATGGAAAAAAGTATTGTTCAGAATACTTATGGCCTAACTCCAAACCGACCCATTCGGAGCTTTAGGAAGATCGCATTTGTAATATCTGCAGTAATCCCACTCATATGGCTAAAGATTGCACTAACAAAAATATTAACAAGTCTTAATCGAAATGATTTGTTAGTGGTGCTGATAATTGGAAAACTTGAAAAGTCTTATGCAGAGACAGCTAAATCAAAACAAAAACCCAGAAATAGTTTTAATTCTAATAATAATAATAATCCTTCTGGATCACATGATCGGGAAAGAGTTCAAGGCAATATTAATAATACTGCAGATGGGGATAGTGAAGACTTCAATAACCATCCGAATTTCTTGAAATTTAAGGAACAAATTATTAACACTATGAGGAAGGTGGAAGAAAAATTACTTAAAATGGAATCACTCATTGGTGACACTAGAAAGCAAATTAGTGAAGTAGTTACGGTACAACAAGCGTTCAAATGTGATAAAAATCATAAAATGCATCCAGTTTTAATCAGTAAGAAAAAGAAAAATCAACAATCTGCGTCTGGTGCAGAAGTAAAAGCAGCGAAAAACGCTGTAAAGTGACTCTGAATCAAGTGAAGATGAGGATGAACTAATAAACAAGTCTACTCTCCAATCACAACAATTTCAAAAATCAGATCAAAATATTCAAAGTATTGTTGATCAGCAAAAGCAAATACAACAAAATCACCAGGAAACTAAATCCTTACTTTCAACACTCTACAATATGCTATCTGGCGGCCCTTCAGCTTCATCATTAGGGGATGATGATGAAGTTTCTGATGATTCTGTCATATAATTATTTTAATGATGAATAATAATATAATTTCTCCTTCTAGTTCGACAATTCAACAACAAAAAAATTTCCCCCAAATAGAAAATAACAACCCATTAATTACAAAAAAATCCTTAAAAAATTCTTTAATAACTAAATAGCTACTACGAATGTTCGTACCCTTAGTAAAGATAAATTAGTTTTTACGTTAGACGCTATGAAAAATAATGATATTGATATATATGGATTAGTTAAAACTAATCTTTCAATTAGAACATCAAAAATATGGCAACAACAATTCAGTTTCCATGAATACTTCAATTATTCACAACGGAAGGGTAGAGAACAAAGCATAGGAATTATCATTAGCGATAAATACGATATATTTGTAGTTGGGTACAAAGGTTATGTTTTATACTTAAACTTAAATTTTAGTCAAAAGAAAAATGTTTGATTAATTCAAGTATACATTAATGCTAATAAAAAAGAAAGAACACAAATTGAAGAATTATACAAATATGTTGAAGATATCATTGACAAAGCTAAACAAAAAAATATGGAGATAATCATTATGGTGATTTTAACATTAATTATAGAAAATACTTAATGGCTTTTATTACAAACTGATGGTACTTTAAATTGTTCAAAATGTTAGAAAATAGATACCTTTTGAATATAATTCCAATATTTAATGAAGATGATGAAAATATATATACATATATTTCACCTAATGATTCTAATGAAAAATCAAGAATAGATTATATTTGGGCTTTATTACTGATACTTGGTCAAAGTATCAATAGTGCTGTAATTGAAAATTATCATTTCACGACAGATTACAATACTGTTATATTATCGCTTGACACACAATTATTTATAGAAAAGGCACTACTTAAGGTTAATAAGAGTAAGAAGAAAATAACTTGTACTATATTCTTATATGATGAAATGGATGTAAAGATAATGAGTTTACATGGGATAACTTCCATGCTGGTTTAGACCATAAAATTGAAAGACATAAATTAAATTGTTTAATTACAAAAAGAAAACATATTGATCATGTGTAGGATTGTCTTAGGCAAATTATAATGAAATCTGCTAAAAAACATATTAAAAACAAAAATGTTATGAAAAACAAACTCAAAAATGCACCTGAGAAAAAATTAGCAGTATATTTTGATTAAGATATATTATCAATCATATTCAAGAAATCTGCTCATATATTACAAGATTAAGAAACTGTTCAAATATCAATTCTGGGGATTGATTCTGATAAAGGTCACCAAAAATACATAATTTGGTAAATGTGTAGACTAAATATTAAATTACTAACACTTCATTGAACATACAAAAAATATCATTATTGTAATCAATTTCCACTATTTAATTATCACTTATGACTTGATCTTTATTATATAAGAAAATTTACATATACTTTACAATCAGTTTAGAACAAAAAACAACTATGTATCAAACTAATCAAAAATATTAAAGAAAAAAAAATAAGATAATAAATAAAATGTTATTGTTTAATAATAAAAATATTTTTTTTAAATAGAGTAAAATAATAATTTCTCTTTTCCATATTTTAACACTATGAAATAATTATCTAAAAGCTTGAATCTCGAACTGTCTATTTGCATCATATGTTGCAATAACATTTCTCCTACTGCAATATCATCACTAAATTCGTTATTATTATTTTTTGGATGTTCTACATATTTCAAGAATAAATCTCCAACTGCATTGTTATCACTAAATTTATTATTATTCTCTGGAAGATCTTCAACTAGAGGACTAAGTAACTGGAATGTATAAACAGTTTAAAACAATAAAAAGATATTATTGGGCATTTTTTATAAAACTAGTAACGATTTTGTTGATCATTTGTTGATCATTTATTTTTAAATTTATTATAAATTTTGTCATGAGATTTTCTATGGAAATCATTTCTCAATTTGTTATTAAAACACCTGCTGAATTGCCTCGAAATTGAAAATCATTTCTCTTTTTATAAAAAAATTTCCTTTTTGGTAAAAAACTCTCAAATTAATTTTATATAACTTTATGTAAAATGACAATGACAATGACAATGTCAGTGTCAATGTCAATGTCAATGTCAATGAAAAAAACTTCTAATGCCAACTTTTCGCAAAAACTCTTCCTGTGCCACTGAAAATACCTGTTAAATTGAGACATCATTCAATATTTGCATGTTTTCATTTGTTTGCTGATCAATTTCACTATTATAATATTATTTACTGTTGCAGCATTTTCGCTATAATTTAAAAAAATTTTTAAATAATTTTAACAAAAAACATTTTATTGTTAATTAATAAATTATAGTTTTTCAATTTAATTTTTAAAATGTTAATTTTAAAATAATACATGTATTATGACAATTTCTCTCTATAAAAAAATAAAATAAATAATAAGTAAAGTTAGAACCATCCAAAAAAACCTTACTGGGTAGTAAATTTTATTTGTATTTATTTATCCATTCCTAGGAGATTTTGCAGTGAAAATTAACTATTGATTATACATTTATACTATAATAAACAGATTTGAAAATTTGAGTAATTCAGAAAGATTTGCATTTTCCAAATTAGAAAAACTTTTAATTTATTCATAATTTTAATATTATTTTACAATTGTAATAGCAGGAGATATAATTTGGCCTATCGGTCATATATGTAATACTTATTACCAATTTAAATATAGGATTTCCGATTTTAATATTGCAACATGTGATCATGTATTACGGTTATTAACAAAGAATTTTTTTATTTTTTCAGCTGATTATTTTTTTGTCTTTTCATTTACAAAAACCTAATAAAATAGAAGTAAAATTTTATTTTTTTTCCTTAAATATAAACACAAACATATTTAAATTAAATAACTCAGAATTTAAATATAAACAAATATTATAGTTTGTTTACACATATTTCAAATTATGGTTTGAGCATTTTGGCCAAAGTAAATC